GGCCGATGGGGTGAGCTCCCTCGCACTTGGCACACACGTGGGCCCTGCTGCAGTTGGGATGCGTGCATCCCTCTAGGTTGTACGCGAAGCAGATGCGCTGCCCCTGCTTCGTCATGGGCTTGGCTCCTTTCTGTCGCAAAACTAAGGGCATAGGAATGCTGCTGGCATCCTGGGCGCCCTTACCCTTCCCCGTTTTGCCCTTGCCTGGTTGTTTGCCCTTGCCTGCGCCTTTACCCCCTTTGGAGCCCTCATGATTACGCCACTTATTTGCATTATCAACGTTCGCTGTGTTCTTTCGCTTGAGACCCGCCGGCAGGGGGACAAGCAATGAGGACACCGCGTAGGATTCAAGAGCGACATGAAGTGCACGGTCCATGTCACAGGTTCCATCCGGGTTGGCACGGGGTCTTTTGTTTTCCTCAAGCATATGCACCCAAACGGCCTTGTCTGCTTGAATCAACTGCTCGATGCCGACGCGCTGGTGGTTCGCTGGGGCAGGTCGGCGAAAGTGCATCATAAGCTTAGCCAGGTAGCTTTCATACGCACTGAGGCTGACGCAATTTGCCATGACATAAGCATACCCTCTGCGTTTAAACCCCTCAAGCAATGCCAACGCACCGTGAACTGGTTGATCCGTGGTTTCAGCATGTTCACGCACTGCGATCTTCCCCGCCTCCACTGCAAGAACTTTCGACGGCTTATGGTGATTCAACAGCTCGTGCTGGCGGGAAACATCGGAATGTGCTTGAAAACATTTTCGCGGTGTTGCTCACAAGTCAAGTCTAGCAATGAATGCCCAGGCTCCATTGTTGAGTCGATGTGCAACCCAGGATTAGCAGCCTTAAACATGGTCAAGCGTTGGGACTTTTCAGCCTCGGGTAGCTTCTGTTTAGTGGTATTGTCTGGATCCAGGATTGACTGACGAAGTGCACTGAGCTGAAGAGTTTGCGACTCGAACAACAGGCGCTTAAAGGCAGCAACATCACCCAAGGACAGTCCAGGGAGATTCGACTCAAGCCACTCCTTTAAGACCTCTTCGGACAGGTCTTGACCGGGAGTCCCTATAAGATGCGCTGTGGTCCCCAGCGTCCTAACTCCCAGACCCTCTAACTTGCCCACCGTTGGCTGACTCAAGTTGATCTCCTTGCATCGTCGTTGAAAGTGAGCCTCAGAATCAAGGATGGCAGTCATTGCGAAATGTACTTCGGACGAGAGACTTAAGCTGTAGTGTTCCTAGTTTGCACCACATGTTTTCTGTTGCCTTGTTGTGACCTAGTCGCATGACGCTCAACATGTCAAGACTCTCAGCCGGGACTGCGCGGGTGGTTCAGCGATGATACTCACATGCACTCCTAGGCTGCGCTCACAGACACTGCAAACCCTCAACGAATACTGCGCACTCCGTCCGATTTCACGGCATAAGTACCGTGAGCTGCTCATCTTTTGTGCCCTCGCACGAGTCCCCTCGGACTAGCCTTTAAAGGCCGGCAGCTACCCGTCTACAGTTGTGACATGTGCCACTGACCTGCCCAAAACTTTTTGGGACGACATAGTTGGATGTCCCAACTTTACCACATGCCAAAATGGCGTTTCCTCCCCCAGACCGTGCAATCACGTAATGACATTTCTTGGACTTCACATGCACAAGTGAGTCTTTCAAGCCCCACGGCCAGTCCTGCTTTTGGACCTTTTGAGCGGGCTGCTCGTCCTCGGACGATGTTCCTGAGCTCTCAGCACTCTCGCTGTTGGATGAGGAGCTGGAATCCGAACTGATGTCCACAATCTCGCCCTGGCTCGGTACCTCATCACAAGCGTCTGGCTCCGACTTAACCGCATCCTTAGACAGCTGGGGAAGTGCAGTGAAATACTCAGCACGTGAGTTGTCTGGTTTGAAGCGTCCTGAAGAGATGTCTCGAAGGACCTGCTCGAACTCTTTCACTGCCGATGTGGCTAAGTCGACGGCATAAATCGCCTGCGATCCGGCTGTGGCCGATGCATGTCTGCCTAACACTGACCTCTGGCTCGCTTAGAACACCATGCGAGTGGAGTGCGTTTGAGCGAATGTGAAGAGATGCGCTTCAGGCGCTCTTCATCACACACTGGGCCCAATGCGATCCTCAAGAATGACGTAACCTCTGCTGCTCTGATCTCACGCTTAGCCAGCATTTCACCATCTGCAGATATGGGGGCCTTCAGAAGCGGACCCTCAACTTTGCCTTGGACCTCCATGCCTACTGCGCTGAGAGCGTCAAGAGCCACTGACACCCACTGGGTGCCAGTGACACCCATTGCTGGGATCAGCACCGGGAGGAGCTTCTTGGATCGTGCCGTGACGCTGTTGGTTTTATGCATCCCGAGATACAAGACAACATACCCTGAAGAATCGTTGAACTCATGCTCAATCCACTGAATGTCCGAAAGGTCGCTGTTCCTACAACGGCCATACAGGGCAAAGAGGCATCTGGCCGACATAGCGCGATCGAAGCTGTGGGCTCCCCTATCCTCCACCATGGTGTGCAATCGGCGTGTTTCACCCACTGTCAACGCTTCAGCTTGGCGCAACCATTGAACTCCAACTGACATTTGTTCGGCGATCCCACACACTCGCCGGCTCTGCAAGACGTCGTCCAAGTGGAAACCAAGCACATGATGAAGGAAACGCATCGCACTGAGGACCCCAGCCCCTTTCGAGGCAGCTGCACCCGCCTTTTTGAGGTCGGTCATATACGCCCACAGCGACGCCTCTGATAAGCAGTCCGACTCTGACGCGGGGCCGTTAAGGTACCATCTGAGAAATGTGTTAAAGGCATTTGCACGCTTGTCTATTGTCCAAGGGGAGCGAGTGCCGACAGCAGCCGTCACTGATTCTGGATCGACCTTCCCGCTGCGCAGCAGTGTGCAAGGAACCAAGTTCTGGGGTACAAGCCGAAGGCCCGCAACCAACTTACCTAAACTAACCTCCAAGACCTCAGCACGTCTTTCGCGGAAAGACAGGTTCTTAGTGGCTTTGATGGCCACCGCAAAAATTGGCTTACCTTGAAGATACACCTTGGCACTCACAGACACATAGGTTGTCTCTTGATGGGCTGGCTCCTGGGGCACAAGGAGCTTTTTAGCAATCAAGGGCATCTTAGGTACTGATGGCAGTGATGGCAGAGATTCGCTGAAAACGGAACGCATGGGGCCGCGCTCCCAAGGAAACTGCAGTTTGCGCAAGGATGGATTCGAGACCAACTCGGTCGACACTACGGCAGCCACGTCAACGAGCGGTGTTATCTCGGACTCCTGAAGGCTGGCAGTGAAAGTCCTGGTTACAGGAGGTGTGCTCAGGCTTGCATCTGAACCCACCGGTCGCCAAGAGGAGCTGGAACCGGCAGCGAGCTGCTCTAGGTGTTTATCGAACTCACTCAAAAATCCTTCCTCGGTTTCAGCTACTTCCCTGTAATGCTTCCATTCTGCAGAAGCGTCACATCCTTCTTGCTCTTCCCAGCCATCCGGCTCCAAGTCTGGTGAGGGATCCACATTTAGAGGCTCGGATTGTCTCGAAGTGCCTGCCAGGCCTAAACCACAAGGAAATTGTAGGTCTACACCACTAGCAACCGCAGGGGGGAGTGGTGGAAACTCGGGTCGGGACTCTGGGGCCTCTCCACTGACTACACCACCGAGCGGTTGCTCGTTCGACGGCACAAGCTGTTCTGAAGGATCTAGAAGATTCTGCACGGATCCGGAGCTACTCATCGGCTCGGCTGATGGTACAGGTGTAACTGCAACCCCTGGCACAAGTTGGTCTGCCGGCAGAGTCGTTAAGGTCAAGTTGGTCCGAAGGTAAACCCGCAACCCCCTTATTATCCGAAGTAACGCACAGAATGGCATCAGGCACTGAGTGGGCTGCCGCCGGCGTGCGGCCGGGCGTATCAGAGGGAAGTCCAGCTGGAGGCATGCGCGGGGGCGCACCTGTGGTGGAGTCAGACATGACGATATTGCAGGGCGGGGTCACGCAGGGCAATGCGGTAGAAGGACGTGCGGGCCGGATCTAGCACAAAAGCAGCTGACTGCAGAAGGGCCCCTCGCTCACGAAAGGAAGGAAAATTAAGCAGCACGGCGCAGGGCCGAGGGCTAAATGTGATATCCCCGAGATCCACAAGAAGCAAATCAGAAGTGGAAGTATTGGCACTGGCAGGACTGTTTGAGGCCGATGGCAGATAAGACGGGCGCAAGCGGTACTCCAAAACTGTGACCCTGAATTGCAAGGCAGCAATCTGATCCTGCAAGTCCTCTCGCAGCAAGCGGAGGTCCTCTGACAGCACGGCGCTGGGACCCACAGAGGTGGTGTCACTCATGAGGCACAAGGCCGAGGTCCCTAAAAGACTACGAAAAGTGTGGAATGACGATGGGAATAATGCAACACGATAGACAAAAAATTCTGCCCATGCCCATGTTGCATGCTGTTTTCACTTGCTCCCTTGAGCATGTCCTCGCGGCGGTGTACACCAGCATTCACATGTTCGGGCTGCACGCAAGAAGTGTTCAAGGTTGCTCGCAAGATAAAATCACTTTGCAAATTTTCTTTCCAACTCAATCGGAAGAAGTAAAACTAACCTAGTTTTACAAAACAACATCGTAAATTAAAGCGCTATCAACCCGTTGACCGCTAGCAGCACCCTCTGCCAATCGCAAAAGAGCTTGGTAACACCGTTCGAAGACAACCACACAAGCTGGCACGCCTAGCAAAAATTTCAATACAGAACTTTCTATCACGATCACGCGGCACATGATCCTTAACCGGCTTCGCTAAGTGCACGGACGATCCCTGACACTCGGGCACTGCACATGCAATCACATCGCCCGCGCACGTCCCCTGTCACTCTGAGCTCGTAGCGGAGTCATGCTCGCACATGGGATGCGGCTTGTAACACCCAGGCTTGCAGCACACATGCTTGAACTTGCATTTCGCTCCGGCCTTGCACTTGCCCAAGTTGAAGTTGAAACAGATCGGCTTGTTATCTGGCGTTCTCGAGTGCATTCCCTTGAGAACTTCGGGAATCGGGTCGCGGGCTCTCATCGTCATTTGTGGTCTTTGTGCGCTTACGACCCTTACCCTCCTTATCAGCTTTGCCCCCTCCGTTGCCACGGCCCTTCACAGGCAGCAAGAAGTACATCACAGTTGTGTTAAACTCAAGCTTCTTAAACTCCTTATCGAGGGGAAGGGAACCGTCGGGACCTGGTTTCAAGTTGCCATTGCACACACGAGCAAGCTCCAAGAAGCACTGTCGGTCGGCCCGTAGCACTTGCGCACGGGAAACACGCTGAAATTCAGGAGGCGGGTCTTGGCTCATGATACGGAAGAGACGCTCGTTCCATCTTTGCACACATGCATAGGATGCGAGGCCCACTAAGTCCATAGCTAAGGCGCGCCTCATCATCGCCTGATACAGGGCCAAGTCGCTATCAAGCGTAATGGCAGCTGTCGTCTCCTCGTCTTTCACAACCAATCCCGTCTTATTGCATCTAGCTGCAAGGCCTTAGGAGGCTTTTCGGAGCAAAGCTCCGCGTCCCGAGTGATGCATTCATTGGGGGCCAGATACTTTAGCTCATCATTCTCGCGCATGGTTGCTATCTTGTCATACACACAATGGGCGACGGCAAGCGGGCCTTCCAATGGCAGTCCGGATAGACGCCGCTTCTGAGCTTCAATGCGCATGGAGCGCTCTGACGCCGGCAGTTTCCTTGGCACCTCGTCCGTAGCCTGCATGGACGATCTCAGCTCAGCCACTGTCATAGTCTGAGCCTCAAAGATGAGCTGTTTCAAAGCGGAGCTGTCTCCTAAGGTGATGCTGGCCCCCGGCCGGAGGGCTACGATGAAAGCATCCATGTCATCACTCGAAGGCTGGTTCCCCGGAAGCGTCACAGCATAACTGAGCTTCCCTAGGGTCGTGACTCCTGCAGCTTTCAAGGCATCAACCCACGGAGCTGATAAGCCTGCTCGCTCACACTGCTTGTCGAGGGCAGCCACTGTAGAGGTCAAGAGCGAAAGTGCAGCCATGCCAACTAAGGAGCACACACTAGCGACCTATACGTAACACACTCTGTCACATCGACACACAAACCTGTCAAGGAACTACCCAGCATGAGAGTGACCGTTCCAAGTCAAACACAAAGCATATGATGTTGCATGCCTGACGAATGTCACCTCAGCCGCAGCGCACACGCGTGACATATGAACTCCCTACCAAGGGCATTCCCTGGGATGCGCATACGCAATCACAAAATGACATCTACTGCATTCAGCACAAGAGCACTCTCCACATACACACCAAAGCTGCATGCAGCAAAAGGCACTCCAACTACACACTGAGGAATTTTACGCGCCGTCAGTACGGTTCATAAGCTCTTCAAGCCGCTCATTGAGGGCTCGAGTGGAATCTAGCAACTCACCTTCCAACAAACTGCACACCTGGGCCACTTGAAGTAGGATCCATCTAGCCACCTGTACACGTTGGCAGTGCGCCTTCCACACTTCGTCTTGCAAGCCGCCTGCCCTCCTTGAGGGCGATGTAGCATCTTCAACTTGACGTGTTGCCAGCATGGCTCCTTGATCTCAAACGGTTGGCATACCCCACTCGCTGTGATAGTTTGCTCCTCCGTTTCACTGGCATTGGAAGAACAAGAGCTCGATGACGAATCAGACGAACTCGAGTCACAGCCCTCCAGCTCCGTCTCACGGGCAGCATCCCCAAACAATTCAGGAAAAAGCACTTCACTCCCAGATCCAGGCTCCTGCTCCCCATCATTGTGTAGCGGCTGCCCCACATGATGCCAGGAGCCATCATCACGATCACGCTCGCTTGCCTGTGAGGATTCCGGTAAATCTGGAGGCAAATTGTTCGCGTAATAATGCTCAAGCTCTCCTGGCACCTCAGTCGGATGCTCCTCTTCAACTGGCTCTTGCTCTAGCTGTGCTCCAAGGCCAAAGGCACCGCCTGAGCTTCCAAGTTGAACACTCGCAAATTCCCCGATCGTGGGTAGAAGAGTCTCCTTTGTGAGCCATCCCGAACGGGTACTATCTGGCCTGAAGACATTCGTCCTGATTTCCGCAAGCATAGCCCTGTAGGCGCGAAGGGGCGCGCTCAACAACTCTCGGCTGTAGCACGCCAACGAGCCTGAGCCCGGAGCATGGTGACCAAGAAGTAGGCCATCCCTCTCTCCAAAACCACGCTTGCCGACCCAAGCCAAAGTCGTACCCTTCAAGACATGCGACGTACGCCTCTGGTCTCCATCCAGATCCAAGGCGTTGCACAACATATCACCGGCTTCGCTTGAAGTGCACCGTCTCTTGCACAGCTGACCCTCGGCATCCGGGGCACGAACCAGAGGCCCAAAGGAATCTGCGTCCCACTGCACACCCAGCCGAAGCCCGGCATTCCACCAGGCTCCCACCCAGTTTGCATCGGTAACCCCGGGAAACGGGGCTACCAGAGGCATCGCACGCCTCTTTGTCTGTGCTGTATTGCTGGTCTTGTGATCACGGGTCCTGGCTTCTACAAAGCCAGATAGATGGTCCTCACTCTCAAAGTCCACCCATATGCACAGCAGATTTCTAAGATCGGACCACCTCGAGCGGCTATACAGGCAGAAGACAATCCCTCCCAGCACATAAGTGTCTGCATCACACAAAGTGTTGCTGGCCACAAGCTTCTCCAGTTTGGCAACACACTCCACACTGAGAGGATCCTGCTGTTTCACCTCTGCCCGGTCGCCCTCGAGTCTCTTAGCACGGCCTTGCAACCTGCGGTCCTCAAGGATCTCTTTGCAAAACGGCATGCCCATAACATGATGTGCAAAGTTCATGGCTTCGAAGAGACCTGTCACTGCACTTGCAGCAACACCAAGGGATTTGACGAAGTCGGTAAATGAATCGCAGTCCCAAGGCCAGGCAGCTCTCCTTTCTCTAAGATGCCACCTCAAGCACCTAAGCAAAGAGTTGGCACGCTTAGTGGCAGTCCTAGGGGATTTAATGCCAAAGACATCCCGGATCAACTCGTCCCTGGCCGACTCACCCTCTGCAATCAAGCACTGAGCAGCCTGTTCACCAACCTGTCCAGGATCACTCTGGGCTAAGCTAAAGATGCAACACCACTTGTTGACCGCTAGGACCCAAAGGTGATCGTCCTCATCTTGGGTAGAGATATCAGCCCTCGCAGAAAAGGATTTCTCGAAGAGTGTGCACGGGGCAGACCTGACACGTATGCACGGCACGTCCTCGGGGGCCGGGGTAACAGAATCCTCTAATGCAGGAGGGCAAGGTTGCCGCAAGACAGGATGCTCTAAAGCACCATTGCCGAAAATGCACGACATAATCCCAGACTCCCAGGAGCCGAGGTAAAGTATCCACGATGCCACTGGTGCGTGCGTGCAACAACAAGCGGTCTTGTCTGCGTCATCAATAGCACTGTCATGTGACATGATGAGAGGCTAAGCAGACACACCCCCTTGGAAGCGAGCCTCGTAGCTACATGCGCTGAAGGCAGTGCCGAAAGCAGAACCCACCTCGTCCATCTGCGGCCCTCCCAGTGGAGGGGGCGTGCACGGGCTCTAAGAGCAACGTCGAGGGAGTCCTGTTAAGGACCTCTGTGGCCTCCAGGCTCAACAAAATTGTTCTCACGGCTGCACACAGCCCAAATGCTACAGAGAACAAGGATTCGCATCAGCAAACATGTTGTGCAAAGTGGCGCAATCACACAAAAGTGCACGACAGAAATTGCACATGGCACATACCGCAGCACTGCAAATCAGAAAATCGTTTGGGAAATAAAATGCTGTCTCGCAAGCGAGAAGGCTTATTTGTTTTGGCTTATGCGGGCCTCGTCGACTACGGCTGTAGCACTCGGTCCCTACAAACGAACAAACGATCAAAACAACAAAAACAGCGGTGAAACAAGATACTTAATTAGAGAGGGCGGAGCTAGCTGCGGTGCCCAGGCTTTGCCGGGGTTGGCCGTTCAGCACTTGCTACGGGTCCTCAGCGATCGTTCCACGACAACAGAGGGCCGTCGCCCAAAGTTGCCCAAGACCGTCAGTGGAGCCCAAGTCAAGGCTCCGGCCGCCGTTCTAGTTCCGTCGAACAACGGTCGGCCCCGAGGTCCTGTTGTGTCCCGATCGTGCACGCCAAAAAGTCCACAAGTCCAAAGTCCAAGGCCATCGGCAGTGGAGAGACCCGTCGACGTATGTCGAAAGGTTGGACCTTGAGCATCCAATGAGTCCAAGGTCAAAGGGCCTCGCTCCCAGGCAGGAGGCCATTCATCAAGCTTGCGCTGCATGTCGTTGCCACTTCGTGGAATGTGGGATTCTCGCAGAAGGCACAGCAATTGAAACTGGCCCGCATCATACAAGGTTTTGAGGCGGTGAAAGCCGTACTGGAGAGTGTCTAGGTCTGGCTCATGAAGGTGCGGCATAAGCTCATTGGAAATGAAAGTGAGCTGGATGCCAGGGCCAAGTCCGCCCTGCTCGATGAAGGCATGGGCCGCTGCACGCCACTCGTCTTGTCCCCACGTGTGCCCGAGACGATACCGCGGTTGGTTGGGCCCGACAGTCCCGTGCATCGAAGTGGGCATAGCGCCACAGGCGGACAGGGAAGTAGAAGTCCATTTTCCGAGGGCCGCGTAGCCAGAACACAACAACGGCACTGAGCTCCCAACTCCGGGTGGTGGCAGCCGTGCGGAGACGACACAATGCGGCGTGCAAAAGTCCAGCAGACTGGAGGGGAAGAGCGGGCTGCGCCCGCAATCCCAGCAGAAGCGAAACGTGCCTTTACAGTGGCCGGGGTAGGAGAACATCTGTGGATCGAAATCGCCGCGCCGTGCAGGGAGAAGCCCATGATGAAAGCCTTCCATCATGCGGGCAGCAATCGCGATTTGGGGTTGGCCAACTAGAGATTTTTGATGTACATCCTCCCTTCATAGTGAATCTGCTTTGTCAACTAGGCAGATGTCCGCTCCCGTGGTGCCGGCACACACTAGAGGTCAATGAACGCCTAATTCATTTCTGTGACTGCAGAAGAACTCGAACAGGAATTTGGAAGAAGGAAATCGAGCGAGATGAAAGCCGAGAATCATGCACCCTCATCAACCATCCGGTGCACGGCGCCCATATCTGCATTGGCGGGACTTGGGTTGCTCAGTCCCAAACCATACTTCAGATGGAATGAATATGCGTCGCAATCGACGGAGAGGCGCTACGTGTGTCCCGGCCTGGTGTCCGGCCGGGTCGCAGTAATTTTGTCCAAGCTTGCCGCTATGTGGTGAACGGCACATGATCCAAGTCCACCTCAATCATTCAGCATCCCGGAACCCGAGCAGTGGACGGAGCCATGTGAGGCGCATCCGCCAAAAGATTGGTTGGCGATGCGCACGACTGAAATGAGTCTTGCTAAGCAGTCCAACACACGTTTTGCTCCAACACGGCATCAAGACAGATAAGCGCAGACCACACCTGGAGTTGATCCTAAACTGCTTCTGTGCATTGCGTCAATGAGCCAGCAGGAGCATCGATGAGACATTTCGCAGCAGGGTCACGAATGCTGCCCATAGTGTTGTTTATGGAGAAATCGGCTTCTCCGATAATAGATTTTTTTTTTGTGGAAAATGCGCATTGCGCCAGAGCAGAAGGCGTAGAATAGAACGGAGCTCTTTACAGAATGCGACGCGCATTCATAACATGCTTGAGGTGCGTTATGGTCATTCGCTGGCATTTGTCGGATATGACACCGGCGATATGGGCATTGCCGGACTGCTGGCCAGTCCAGATGGCCTTCTTATTAGACACATCACCGCAATTAGGTATCCTTGGATGTGCGGAATCCTCCAAAACGTGCGCCTTCGGTGCTACGATGATGACCAGCCTGTCGCACTCTTGGAGAGCTGTCTCTCTCAAGCGTGTCGTAGACTTTTCACACTTCCGGCTGCAATGGAGGACAACGGGCAAGAGAGTCGGCGAATGTTACACCAGGACACAACGCGGACTTTCGAGGCGCTCACTCTTCGGGTCAGTCTGTGTAGAGGACCGCCTCAGCTTTGGTACATACGTGCTTGGCTTATCCTGCCCAATTCGCTCTCGTTGGCGCCAAACACTGGCGGGCCAAAGCGGCAATAGACCTCCCTCGGAGAGCTGCCTCCTTTGGTTGGATTTGCCCAGCACAGTTTCTAGCTGTCTTTGTAAGTCGGTGGTCCTGCAGCAATGGCGCCGCGTTTCCGGCCGACCCCGCAGGCCAAACCCAAACGTAATGTGCTTAACTGTAAAACTCAGGTTTCGCGATCACAGAGGCTGAAACTGTGGAACAAAACGATTTCAAGCAAAGCAAGGACCGTAAAATAATGCAGTTGTGGGCTCGGGCTCGGCAAGTAAACCGGAAGTGAAAGCATCAGACGTGTTAGCCATGAAACCTGTTGGGAGCTTGCGAACTGGAAGTGAAAGCATCAGACGTGCTCTTGTGTTTCACCCAACCTGGAACCCAGAGACCATGTTTTGAGCTCCGAAGCTTTTTAAACCGGAAGTGAAAGCATCAGACATGTTTCTGTGTGGTCTTCACCCAAGAAATGAGACCAAGGACCTTTCTGGTGGGCTCCGAAGCTTACAAACCGCAAGTGAAATCATCAGAGGTGCTGTTGTGTGGTCTTCACCCAGTAATCATACCAAGAGACTGTTTATGTGGCTCCGAGGCTTGTGCAAGCCGGAAGTGAAAGCATCAGACGTGTTTCTGAGCGGTTTTCACCCAAAATGCTACCAAGAGATCGTTGTCTTCACACAATGGGAAGGATTCCGCAAGGGACTGCGGGAGATGCGCGGTTGGAGTGAGCGCATGTGTGGATTCGGGAGTCAAGACGTGGTTGGGTGAGCGTGCGAGTGAATGTGCAAGTCAGGGAGTGCCACTAACTTTGCGATTGTTAACATATGTGAGATTTGAAGCAGCTCTCTGCAGACGCCCGCAGTGCAAACATAACGTGCACGCGGCCGTTCAGTGGCCGTTCAATGTGTAGAGTGTTATATAGAAGTTTCTTGGAGTCGGTCTTCTTGCTTTCGAGGGCCCTGACGGACGCACTTTCTTCTTTCCGTCCACATTGAGGGGCGTCTAGCACGTTACGATCTGTGCGTCTCAGTTTCCAATTCAATTTTCGGAACCTCGGACAGCTGAGTGATTGAGTAAGCGCGGCAAGGTGTGTGAGTACGTGCAGGGGGAATGACTTTGGCAGCCGCGCAGCTCCGCAGTTCCGCACAAAGCCCTGGAAGCACCTGCAAGAGACCGGGCACTTATTGTCTTGTTTGCCATGAGTTGAATTGAGCTGGAATGTGTCCCTGGTTTTGGGTCCGAAACATGGGTATGGTTTGGGGTCTGCGGGGGGTGGCCTCCCCAGTAGCTCTGTAAGGTAGGGCGGTGTTGAGTGGGAGAAGCATCCAGCACCCTCAGCAACTTTGTCATGTCCTCCTTCCACAATATCGGCTTGAAGACATGGGTACAGCCCGTGCTGTAGAGCTCATCCGCAAAGGTAGATCCTCCTTGACGCCTTCGCCGGCGCTGACTGCCCGTTGCACAACCGCCTGTCCTGTATGCCTGTCAAGCCAGTGGCTGCCAAAGCTAGTGTTTGCAGCTGTTAGCATCGCCGAAGCGGAAGGAGGTCACTTCAGCTGCACCGCCAACCAGCACACTCAAACGGTAACGAAGGAAGCGCATGAACTCCTGCGTGGTGTGATCTGTGGCGATATGTGCCAGATAGAAGCAGCCGGGGAGCGAGGCTACCGCCCACTTCACGTCGTGGCTATCCACTGTCATTTCAGTAACTCGGTTCCCAACCTCGGCTCTACCAAGGATGCCGCATAGGTGCGGCTCTTCAAAGGCGTCGTTCCGGTGGTTCAGCTCCTTGTCTGCGGCATTCCTTGAGCCTGTAGAGAGAGAGATTACAGGAGGAGTCCATGTCCAGCGTGACAAGGTAAGGGTCCTCGGTATCGAAGACGGGAAAGAAATGACGGGAGACGCGAAGTTCCCCTCGCCTCCCCGCCAGACGCCTATCCTGTGCCGGCCAAGGCAGATGTAGAGTGCTGCGGCCTTTGCCTGCAATCCTCTACACTGTGCAACGGCCAAGGCCAAGGCAGATGTAGAGGTGCTGCGGCTTTTGCCTGCGATCCTCTACACTGTGCAACGGCCAAGGCAGATGTAGAGGTGCTGCGGCTTTCGCCTGCGATCTTCTACACTGCCAGTTAAAAAGTGCAGCTAAAGCAGATGTAAAGGTGAGGTTGTGGGTCTTCATGACCAAATTTGTTTCTGCAAGCAGCGGAGCTGTCGTCAAAAACCGCTACTAAAAGGGCGGTTGCCTCCGTGAGCGGTGGATAATCATGGGTGTGCCACCGCCGATGGATTCATTGATCACATCATTTTCGCTGACATCTTGCCGCGTCCATGGAGGCGGCAATCCCATGTTATCGCGAAAGGGCTGCCATTGCATTGCCGAGTCATGGAGCCGGGCATGCATGTGCGCAGCGGCGAGGAGCCCTGAAGCATGCGCTGGCGAGACAATGAGAGGCGGCCCAGTGCCTCGTGTCATCGCAGCCGTGAGACGCTGCAGCTTATCCACGCTGCTTGGGTCCTACCAAAAGTGTGTTCGAGAGCCTTGAGGGGGGGTGGGGGGGAAAAACAGTACGAATATGAACGCTTGAATCCTTGCGGACATGTGATTGACGATTTCGCGTGAGCTTGATTTTACCTCGGCTTGATTTTAGATTGAGTGCTTGATCACTGTACAGTGTGAATGAGATCCTTGCACGGCAAAGTTACGACTCAAGTTCTTTTGTGAGTGGGTGGGCGTAGGGGACCTCCGGCGCTATGGCTCACCATGAGTGAATTCCGGCAATGGGCTCGGAGTGGCAGCAGCTTCGAGAAATCAACCCTGTATTCTGCGAGCGTGTTTCGAAGGTCTTCTTTCATATTGGAAACTTTTGCTTGGCTGCAGTTACGCTTGAGGATGTACAGGCAATCGTGGATGATTCGATGAGTGATGTTCTTAAGATTGAGGATCGTGTGGCGCTTACAGAATCAGTGCATAAGTGGTGCGTGCATCATCAGGGGACAGTGGAAAGGACTGTTCGCGAGATCGGGCAGAATGTCCGACGGGGGCCTTATATCCGTCGTGGGCCCAGTGTGACGGCTGCCGATTTGTATGAGGGGCTATTGGCTTCTGATCCTGTGCTGGGTTTGGCTGCTCTTGAGAAGAAGTTAAAGGTTCGCAAAGCTGGAACAGGGGCGCGTGTGGAAGCAGAGGACTTGTGCAGGCGCCGCTGGGGTCTCAAGCTCGCGGGCTACATCCAGGAGGCGGCTCTGCCAGCATCTGAGAGAATTGGGTCGCTGGCTGACGCGGAGTCGGCCTGGCTTTGGGCTTTCGGTAGCAGGCGCGGCAAGACCTTGAAGAATCGGGCTCGCACGTGGGAGCCGGTGCGCGAGTGGATGATTCAGGCGACCGGGAAACCTTGGCCAGGAGACGCATCGCTGTTGCTGCAGTACTTCGATGAGAGGCATCAGATCAGGCCGATGGGGAAGACTGTTCCGCAGAGTATCTTGTCAAGCCTCTGTTTGCTGGAGCTGGTTGGGCAGAGGCCTTGCTGATAGGCTGTCGGAGGATCCTTTACTTGTGGAGTCTGTGAAGGCATGGACGATGCAATTGGAGACAGGTGCCGAGCCGGTCAAGCAGGCGGAGCTCGTTACGGTGGCAATGGTGCTCTCGGCTGAGCTGGTGAAGGTCGGGACACCCCCTGGGCTGCGGTTCGGATGCTTCATTTTCTTGCTTATGTGTTGGGGAACGCTGCGATGTGACGATATACAGGGGATCGATCCTTCGAGTGTTAGGCTGTCACAGCTTGGAATGAAATTTGTTCTCTCCCGGACCAAGACCTCTGGACCTGGAAAACGGATCGGGCAGCTGCATGGATACCTTGTGAGGAGCATAAGCCTTTCTGGCTACGACTGGATTGCGCATTCATGCAAACTCTTGATGAGCGAGGATTTCAAGTTTGCTCGGGATTTCTTGTGTCCAGACATTGGTGAGTCGTGGGAAGTCAAGTCGAGGGAGTACGTTGGAGCAGAGGGCGTCGCCAACCTTGTGCGACGTGTGATCCTGGAGCTGCCGGTCCCGGGGAAGAAAGATGGAGTCTGGGGTCTGAGCAAGACAACGAAGCTGGTTCCGAAGGAGCTGGCGCTCTTCTGGTCCGGGCACTCGCCGAGGCATTTCCTTCCATCCTTGGCGGCAGCAATTGGGATCGACGAAAAGAGGCGCGACTTTCTCGGACGGTGGGCGGCTGCCCGGCAGGGGTCAACCGCTTATGTGCTGACGGCCAGACAAATTATACAGCAAGTTCAGGCTGAGGTGTGCGAAACACTCCTGACTGGGAAGAACCAGCCCGGCTACATCGAGGAGGAGCTGCTTCTTCGCTTAAAGGCGTTTGCGGAGCAACATGGAGTTTCTAACGGGGCTGTTGCACGCCACAATGTCATGGTGTGGTGTGCACTCAACTTGTGCTGGAGTCTTCAAGGAAAGTTTCCGGCAATAGCAGTTGACCCTGGAAGCCATCAGCAAGCGGTGGCCGAGCCACCGAAGGACCAGCCGGCGCCTTCCCCGGAAGATGCAGATGCGCCATACTTTGTAGTTGTGAGTCGTAGTGGGCACAGACGTCTTCACATGTCACGCACTTGTGCTGTAAGGCAGGAGCGTTGCTTGGAGACCATCCCTTTGTACAGCATCACACAGGATTCTGCCGATGCAATCTGTAAGTTATGCAGGCCCCGGCTACAGGAGCAAGGGGCGGTCAGCAGTGAGTCCGCATCCTCAGATGCACTGGAGCCGTGACACATGGGGGGTGTGAAAATTTTTGTCGAATCAGTGGCTTGTCCCGTGAGTCAATGCAGGAAGTACTTCGGTTGTGCCACGTCCCGTGAGTGTCAGATTGGGACATTGCATCAGATTGAGAAGAGCCGCAGTCACGTCAGTATCAGGTGGAGTGCTTTGACTTGACTTTCTTGTCATTACGTTGTGCAAATTGAGGTGAGTCGATCAGACTCTTCAGACACAGTGGCATTTCTTCACACAGTGTGTTCGGAGGTAGCTTGCAGTGAGTTCCAGACATGGATTTGCCAGCTGGAGTGAGTGAGGAAGCGGCTTCGAAGTTCTTGTCCACTGAAGTCGATGCCGAACTTGCACACATCCTTCAGGAAGCTGGAGTCCCGCTTGGATTGCAGTACAAACTCACACAGTCTTTCAAGACTGTGAGGCGGTTTCAGTCTTATGAGGACACCCGGGCAGGGATTCGAGATGCCTTGAAGAACGATTTCGCCTTGGAGCCTTCTACTCTTGATAAGCGTGCTGGGATCTCAGCAGTGATTGGTGCTTGGGAGGCATGTCAACAATTTGCCGCGAAAGAGCAGGAGCTTCGCGCGGAAGCGCGCGTGTTGGGGGTTTCAAGGCCCGTCACACAGACAGATCGGAGTGCGATGAGAGCCGCCTTCGAGGCGACCCACGGCAGGCTTGAAGATGCACATGAGCCTTCCGAGGATTACATCTCTTGCAAAATGGAGGAGCTTGAGGCTCATGAGCCGACGGCTTCGCCGCTGTCCGAGGTCACATCACGCAAGACTGTGAAGACTCAGGGGATCCAGACTGCAGTCGATTCTTCAGGCCATGTTCGCATCGTGCGGACGAAGGTCAAGGGATCATTGCCTCAGGGCACTGAGGAATTGCGCACGGTGATGCGTGTTGAGTGCAACCTGTGGTGCTTCTTGGCGACCAAATATCGCAACCGCGAGCTCTTGCGAGGCATGGACCCCGAGTGCTGGAATCAGTATGTTGCATTTCTGCTGTCTGACAAGGTTTACCTTATGAAGGTGCCGATGGCAGGCGGCAAGGGCAATCAGACCGAACATGTACCATTGCGGCCACCTTGGTCAGTTTTGCTGAATTTCGAGTTTGAGTTGCGAAAGGAGGCAATCAAACGGGCTGTACAGGGCAATCGGCCTTTGAAGGATACACTCGCGGAGGTGACGTCCGATGCTCAGCTCAAGGAGCAGTATTTTACATCGCCCATTGCCCTTCAGCAGGTTGCACCCCCACCGCGGCCAGATCCTTTGTGGCCACAGCGACGGTTCCGACAGTGGGACAATGATTGGTCCGAGAGCCCGGCCAAGTGGCAGCGAACAGGCAAAGGGCGTGGCCATGGAAAGGGCAAGAACGGCAAGGGGGGCAAGGCCAACCGCGATGAATCCAAGGGCGATGGCAAGGGCCTCGGCGGTGGCAAGGGCAAGAGTGATCATGCGCTCTGGACACACACGCCGGATGGACGTCAGATTTGTTTTCCATATAATGCTCAGGGTTGTGATGGCAGCTGCGGTCGAGTTCATGTATGCCGTGTCCGAGGGTGCATGCAGTCCCATCCGATGTGGCAGCATTTCCAGAGCTTGGCAGCAAAGGCGGCAGCACCGACCGGGGCGCAAGTCGCCAACTGACGTTCCAAACTCACCGTGCTGTATCTTTTCGCTGGGTCGGCACGGGAAGGAGATATCAGATCACACCTACAGCAGCTCTGCACGTCGCGGGGACTGGATTTAATTTTGCATGAGTTTGATCTGCTGCGAGGTCCTGAACAGGATTTATCGTCGCACAGGCTTTGGGAGCGTCTCTTCAAGGACATTTCGTCTGGAGCCTATGATATCTTTATTTTGAGCCCGCCTTGTTCCACTTTTTCGCGGGCTAGACACCGTTTTGCGGGGGCATTTGGCCCACGCCCACTTCGTTCACATGTCCATCTGCTGGGTTTTCCTTGGTTGCGTGATTCAGATCGCACAAAAGTTGAGCTGGCAAATTTCTTCGTGCAACAATCTTTTGAGGCCATCCGTTTACAGAGGCAGCAGGGATTGTACTTCATTCTTGAGCACCCTGAAGATCTGGGCCGTGTGCCGTCTGGTGAGAGGCCTGCTTCTATTTGGTCTTTTGATGAGGTTCGTCAGATTTGCGCTGGTGGCGATGTCAGTTGCTGGGCATTGCATCAATGCCTTTTCGGGGCTCTGTCATGCAAGCCCACCCGCTTGTTATCCAATTTGCCCGGGGCGTTGAACTTTGGGATACAGATGCCATGTTTCAATGATGACGGGGACTACGTGGGCCCGCTCTTGCGGTGCCCGCATACACATGCAGATCGCGCCTGCGGCTTTCAGGATGGCGCTTGGAAATCGGCCGCCACGGCGGCTTACCCTTCGGATTTCGCTGCTTTCTTCGCCCGTCTCTCTTTGAGTGTGATGCCTGAGCTGAGGGCCGTGGCTGACTCCGACCTGATCCCAGCCAACATCCCTTCATCAGCCGAAGCCTTTGCCACAGAGTGCATCGCACGCGGTTCTTTCGATCGCGCTTCAGTTCAGATTCTTTTCGACTTGCTTCCTAAGACTCGGCCTCATAAGATCACAGGCAGTGCGGAACCTGGCACCGCTTTCTTTGGAGGCACTGTGCACCAGGAGGGCCTCACCGCACCGCGGTCCACTTGTTTTGCATTCCCCGAGTCCATGCGTGTGATCAACGCTTTTCTTCACTCCGTGGACCCGCACCACCGTTATGCTGCCTTTGTTCTCACAAAGAACGTTACTAGTGAGGTTCATCGTGATCCGCGGAACGCAGCAGTGCCCAACTTGATTGTGGCAATTTCCTCCTTTTCTGATGGTGGCATTTGGATACAGGATGACTCAGGTACCCAGGTGCGATCCTTTCACGGCTCGCCCGTCACAGGCACCGTACACTCCTTACAAGACGGACAGCAAGTGCAGCAAAGATCATGAGCATGCTCCATGGTGGTCGCACTCCCGCCTCAGTGCGTGCTATCCGCCTTTGCTCTGCACACGCATGGCAGACTGTGTCTCGTCTCTAGCATCACAGTCGGGCCGGGTCCTCACGGCGCCCGATGACTTCCATGCAAAGGCCATGGCTGCAGCAGCCAAGCAAAGCAGGCGGCATGCCCCGCTCATTCCGGAGTTTCACAAGGTCACCTGGGAAACTCCTCGCTTCAAGCCAGATAAGTCTTGCAAGATCCTCCTGACCCACGTTGAGGGGGATAGTGGGGGTCAGACTTCGGATCCAAAGAACTTGAAACCTGTCAAGGTAGGCCATTGGCTCGATATGGATCAGCATGTCTCGAAAGCCCGAACGTTGCAGCATCCTGTGGACAAGGCGATCGCAGTTGACCCACCTGTGTGGGAAGCCGTCAACTTTTGCATGGCGCATGACTCTGCCAAAGCTAATCAGCTTAGGAAGCTTGAGCTCCTTAAGGTGAAGCTCCTTGCCAAATCCCTTGAAGAGGAAGAGACAAAACTTCATGCCTCCTTCCCGCCTTGGTTCGAGAAGGTGGTCAAAGGAAAAAGGATTTGCTTGTGGGAGTCTCTCTTGAGAAATCATGGCTTTGACGACATGGGGGTAGTGGATCTGATGAAGAAAGGGGTGCCTTTGGTAGGAACTTCGGAAAAACCTGAATGCTTTAAGACCAAGGTGGCCATGGCTTCCATGTCCGAATCAGAACTCAGGGCCACTGCCTCTTTGCGCCGTCGTGCTGCCTTGTCAAAACCGAACCGTGCGACCCCTGAAGAGATTTCGCTTCTTCAGGAGGCCTCTAACTCCGAGGTTACCGATAACTTCATAGAGGGACCCTACACCGAAGCCCAGGTCACTGAAATTTTCGGCCATTCGGATTGGGGCATCATTCCCAGGTTCGTTCTTGAGCAAGGCCTTGAGAAGAAGATTCGACCCATAGATGATGGGCATGCTTCGCAGGTCAATGAGGCTTTCACTTCCTTGATTAAGCTGGAACTTCAAGGGGCCGACTTCGTTGCGGGTCTGGCTCTGCTGATCTCCCAGGCCGAAAAGGAACGTTCAGAGCGCCTAGGTATCGCTGCGAGGAAGTGGGTGGGTCGGACCCTAGACCTCTCAAAAGCTTATAAACAACTAGGGGTACTCCCGCAACACCGTGACATCGCCGTCATCTGCCATCCCAATGAAAATGGCGAACCGCAATTCTTTATTGCGAACGCACTGATGTTCGGCTTGACATCGTCGGTGTATGGATTTGTAAGAGTAGCTAGAAGCTTGCATTTCCTGCTGGCCAAAGTGCTGAAGATCCCTTCAGCCAACTACTTCGACGATTACCCTCTCTTCACGTTGAGAGATGGGGCCCACGAGCTTGATGGTTTAACTTCCGAATTCCTAGAATTGCTGGGGTGGCGCTTCGCCCAGACCGGGGTAAAGGGTCAACCGTACGAGGAGGCCTTCACAGTCCTCGGAATGCAGCTGGACATCAGTCGTTTGCATGAAGGTGCTGCCGTGCTGGCAAACAAGGAAGGCCGTGTCAAGCGCATTTCCGAAATGCTGGGCAGCATCTTTGACAAGGGAGCCCTGGGCAGGCATGAGGCGCAAGTTCTCCTTGGACTCTTGAACTATGCCTCAGGTTTCTTTGCAGGCCGATCCTTGAAGCCAGCGTGCCACTTCCTGCTCTCCTTGGTAAGGGGGAAGCGCCAAACGGCTGCCGAAATAAAGCGCTTCTGCAAAACTACGCAGGCTGTCTTGAGCACCACTCCACCTAGAGTCCTTCGCATCTTTGACCCTCGACCGCCCATTCATGTTTGGACGGATGGAGCTTGGGAAGATCCTTGGGCGGGAATAGGTGCGGTTGTTCTTGACACGCTAGATGATAGTGCCAGGGTTTTTGCCGGTTGTGTACCCGCTAAGCTCTTGGAACGCTGGAAGCTGGATGTGGGATCGCAACTCATATGCGAGATCGAGCTCTACGCTTTGGTCACTCTGCGTCGCATGCTCCAAAACAGCTTGTGCAACAGAAGAGTCATCTTTTGGCTTGACAACGAGGCCGCACGCACCTCAGCCATCAAAGGTTTGAGCCAGAGCGAGTCGATGTATCGCCTCGCCCATTATCTTGCAGTGATCGAAGCTGAGGCGACTTGTATCGCTTGGTACGAGAGAGTGCCTTCCTTTTCCAACATAGCCGATCCCCCTTCACGAGGTGAGGGGCACAGCATCCTCAGCTTGGTAGGCGCCAAGGTCGTGGAAGCTTTCATCCATGATGAAAGCTCAAACCAGAGATTCCTTCATCAGGGGTTCGCGTGATGTCGGGGGCATTCAGGACGCTGCTCCCTTGATCTTGGAAATCTCAGCTTGCCAAACCCGAGATGCTTGATCATCGGTTTGGCCGGAGCTGTGGGGGCTCCTGAATCAGAATTCACCCTTGATCACCGTGCGAATAAAAAGAGTGTGGCGCGAGAGTTCTGTGAATCCTCATTTAACTTACATTGTGAGGATCTCTGATACAATATATCTTTTACTGATTGATCTTGCCATATTCCGAGATGGATTGATTTTTATATGATTGGCATCGCTTTGATACGTGATATCTGATATCACTCGACCTTTGCGAAACATCAGGTTTTTGAAAGAAGAACATTTTCTGCTTGCAGACTTTTCTTTCTTTTAAAAACCTGACAGGCAGCAGAGCTGCCGTGTTTTGCATGTGAGTTTTGAAGAACATTTCTTGCATGAGAACTTTCATTGTCTTTGAATAAGCAGATCGGATACCTTTGGCTTTCCCGCGAGTCTGCTCAAAGAGAGAGGCAAGAAATTTTTCTTTCCCACCCTCCCACCCAATGCGGACGGGGGGGCATTCAGGACGCTGCTCCCTTGATCTTGGAAATCTCAGCTTGCCAAACCCGAGATGCTTGATCATCGGTTTGGCCGGAGCTGTGGGGGCTCCTGAATCAGAATTCACCCTTGATCACCGTGCGAATAAAAAGAGTGTGGCGCGAGAGTTCTGTGAATCCTCATTTAACTTACATTGTGAGGATCTCTGATACAATATATCTTTTACTGATTGATCTTGCCATATTCCGAGATGGATTGATTATTATATGATTGGCATCGCTTTGATACGTGATATCTGATATCACTCGACCTTTGCGAAACATCAGGTTTTTGAAAGAAACTCTTGAAAATCACTGGACTTGATGGTGCCAAGGAGCGGTACAAGGCGGCCCCGTTCCCGACTGGAGGCCTGCCCACCGACTTGTCGTCGGACCGTGAGCTGAACTCAGAGTTTGCATCGAAGTATCGCTCAGCACTTGGCATCTTGATGTATCTTGCTTCAGACCTGTTGGCGTGTCAATTTGGGATTCGATTTTTATCCACACATGCCCACAAGCCTACCGAAGGCTGCTGGAAGTTACTGAGGCATCTGACTGCCTATGTGAATTGCCATAAGTCACATGTGCTTGGTTTGGCAAAACCCCAGCTTGGGCAAGGACTCATTTGCAATCGTGTGTCTGAACAGAAAACTTCCACGCTCGAAATGTTCTCCGACAGTGACTGGTCCGGGGATAAGAAGACGAGGAAGTCAGTATCTGCATGTTGCATTCTTTGGGACGGGCAGCTGCTTCATTCGAGCAGCCAAACACAGAAGGTGATCAGTCTTTCTTCATGTGAGGCTGAGTACAACTCCCTTGTGGCTGGTTCGGCAACTGCTATCCTCCTTAAGAATTGCATCATACACCTGTGTCCGGAACTGCATATTGCGCTGACATGCTTGTGCGACAATGCAGCAGCGCGGTCTCTTGGCAATCGCCAAGGAGTCGGACGGACTCGCCACATCGACGGAAAGCTGTTGTGGCTTCAGCAGATGACTCAGGAAAAGATGCTGGACATTTCACCGGTTGGAACCGCGGAGAATGTTGGTGACCTTCCCACGAAGCCGCTAAAGCCGGAGAGAGTTGAGTTCATCCTTGCACGGTTGAATGTTCGTGACAAGGATTGCGGCTATGCCTTGGTTGGGAACGCCCATTTGCTTGATCACAGGACGCGACATCATGTGAGTCGCATTGTGAAGCGAGGAGCAGTCAACCCACAGCTTGTGCTTCAGATCCTTGCATTGGCGTTGCAAGCAGATTCTGTCGCCAGTGCCGATGATGAGCCCAATACGCATCGCGATGACGCCTTGAGCCAGGGGACTGGCGAGCACGGTTACGGGGAGATGTTTTGGAATTTTCTTGAACAGTTGCTGTATGCGATTTTCTTGATTGCAGATTTCCTTGCAGAGCATCCCATGCCGAGTTTTATCGTGAGCCAATGCGTTATCATTGCAGTGCTGTGTGGTATCTTCTTGTGCCGTGGAAACAGGCCAGAAAGGTTGCGTGAGAAAGCAAGTGAGGCAGCCGCGAGCAGCGATGGCAGCGCGCCGCAGGTGATGCCGGGTGTGTGCGTCAATGTGACGGTCGAGGGAGCCAAAGTTTCGGTTGATAGTGTAGTCCCGAAACCTGCCGAGAACCCTAATCCTTGCGCCTTGGCCAGCCCTAAGAGTAGTGCCGGGCCGTGCAGTGCGAGTGTGCTTGGACAGAGCAGCGGCCGAGCTGCTGATGACCATGATGCTCCCGACCCGACAGCGCGATCATCCAATGGACCTGCGGTGCAGCCAAAAGCGCCGGTGCAGCCGAAAGCACCGAACCCAGCAGTCACATATGCATCTGTACTTGACCAGCGTATCAGAGATGAGCTTGATCAGCAGACCGTTTGGGTGACCAAGTCGCGTGGTTATGCGTACCATGGCCGCCGGAGTTGCGGCAACTTGCATAACGCCAAAGCCCTTGAGCGCCTTACACGTGGAGAGGCAGTGCGACGAGGCTTTAAGCCATGCAAAGCTTGCTACGGTGGCTGACTTGTTATAATGCTCTTGATGCGCCAATCCTTGAGTGCGCTGCTTCGGGCAGTGCACTGATCGGTTGGATTCTTGTACAAAGGCTGCTGGCGACGACGATTGTACATAGTCTTGTGTTTGAGCAAAGCATGACAGGACTTCGAAACAGCATTTTGCTGTCAATCTCGATTCACGTACGAACTACTTTGGCAGCTGTGGAGCAGCTGCGAGTCCGAAGGAGTAGGCTCACGAGCCACTCGATGCAATTAGGCATCTCAATCCTTGTGCTGATCCCTTAGGAATCATGCTTCAACGTGGCGTGTCAGCTGCGAGCTGCACTGATGCCACATGCGCCTACGCTTGGGTGAGTCAAGCTATCGTCTCGTGGGCGACGCACGCCCTCAGAGACGGTGTAACCTAGTCGTAGATGTACAGTTCTACGTAGTCGAACAACGTATCGAGCCAACGACCTTTTGGGGCAGTGCTCATGAAAAGTAGCCTGTGAGTCGAGTGCTATCGTGAACTAAGCAAGCTGTTGTTTCGTACGGGGTGAGGCAAACTAGATTATGCCGAAGACTTCAACCCGCGAGCTCAATGAAGCTTCGTAGGCGGGGTGTTTATTATTTTGCCTCCTAGGAAACCCCATGCATTTTATCTTGATTTACTTTATCGTATTTCATGCACTCATGAGTTTCACATCGTGATTGCGCTATACTCCGCAGGCGTCTTTGAGGATTCAAAACATTTTCAATTTTGAAGACGGAGTTGTTCAAACCCAGGTTTGAACCTAGGTTCGGAACCCAGGTTCGAACCCAGGTTTGAACCTGGGTTGAACGTCAGGTTCAACCTGGGTTCTAACCTGGGTTCAACCTGGGTTGGAACCTGGTTTTAAACCTGGGTTGGAACCTGGGTTGGAACTTGGGTTGGAACCAAGGTTGAACCTGGGTTGAAACCTGGGTTTTGTGAACCTGGGTTTCAATCCAAGTGTGGATTAAAATCTGGTTTGCAACCTGGATTTGAGTTTTTGAAGAACAGACGCTGTCTCTGAATTTTCATGTTTCTGCTTCTATTTTATTTGTTTTTGACCCTCTCAAGCGATTTCGTGTGGCATCTGCTTTTGTGTTGAAGAAGGCGTCTGTTCACGTTCTGTTTGTTAATTTTTCGCTTTGTTGGTTTGGATTTGGAGTTGAAGGTTCACGGTTTAGGCGTCAAAGGCGCGGGGAGTTTTTTGCAAAAAGGAGGGTTTCAAAGGCGCTGGGAGTTTGCAATTTGCAAAAAAGCGGGGGGATTGGGAGGGGGCGCAGCCCCCCCCATTGAGCTTTTCTGAGCGGACCCCGCTGAACGATTTTGTGCGGCCTTTGTGTGTCTCTGAATTTTCATGTTTCTGCTTGTTTTATTCGCCTTTAACCCCCCTTTAGCGATTTCGTGTGGGCGTCTCCTTTCGTGTCGAAGAAGGTCCTCCTTCAGGTCTCTTCCTCAGCCTCCTTTAAGCCTTTCTTCAAACCAACCCTAGGGTTAAACCTGGGTGCTTTAAACTTGGGTTCCAAACCTGGGTTAGAACCTGGGTTTCAAACCTGGGTTCAAACCTGGGTTATAACCTGGGTTTAAACCTGGGTTTTTGAACCTGGGTTTTTGAACCCAGGTTCCAAATCTGGGTTAGAACCTGGGTTTCAAACCTGGGTTTGGAACTTTGGAACCTGGGTTTAACCTGGGTTTTAACCTGGGTTAAACCTGGGTTCATTAAACCCGGGTTCCAAACCTGGGTTAGAACCTGGGTTTCAAACCTGGGTTCAAACCTGGGTTATAACCTGGGTTTAAACCTGGGTTTAACCCGGGGTTGAACCCAGGTTCGAACCCAGGTTTAACCCAGGTTCAAACCCAGGTTCAAACCCAGGTTAAACCCAAGTTTCAAACCTGGGTTCCCTGGGTTGTTGTTGTTGTTGTTGTTCCCCCCCCCCGGGGGGAGGGAACCCAGGTTCAAACCCAGGTTCAAACCTGGGTTAAACCCCGGGGGGGGAGGGGACCAGCCTCACCCGTCCCATTCGCTTTTGACCCCTTAAACGTCAGTTCATGTTCTTTTTGTTAACTTTTTCGCTTTGTGCTGTGCGGTTTCGGTTTGGAGTTCAAGGTTTACGGTTTCGGCTGCTTCAAAGACGTGGAGTTTGCATTTTTGAAAAGCGGAGAGGTTGGAAGACGCAGCTTCTATTGAAAGCAGGCATCTATTCACATTTTTTTTTTAAATTTTCGCTCTGTATGGTTTGGATCAAAAGTTTCCGTTCTTCAAAAGTGCAGAATCTTCGACATTTCGCTTGCACTTCGGATTGGGAAGCATGAAATCTGCAGACCTAACAGTAAAGCTGCACTTGCGGTTCAGACGGCTTCGAAGGCGTGGAGTTTCACAAAAAGCGACAAGGATTGAGGGACGCAGCTCTTTCAAGCTTTGGACTGTGCGTGTGTGCGTGTTTGTCGACGACCTCTCCAATGCTTCGCTTCTTCGGAGGTGAGAAATCATCAGGAAAAGCGCCGCGATGTGGGCTGTCTTGCCAAGTGTCCATTCCAATCCGGCTGGCGCATTCCTCCTGTGATCTCCAGCTCGGATCCATGGCCTCGAGCCTCGATGACGATGCGGAGAAGGCGAGAGACCGTTTCCGTCGACCATGGTGTCAAGCAATGGACTTGGGCTTTAGTGTGCACAGCAGCGAGGGAACGGTTCTTGAAAAATGTCCGTTGCGGATTTGCTGCTGAAACCCACGCAAAGTCTACAGGCCGCAGTTATCGATGACACGTAGCCTCCATGTTTCACCGCTGTCTTGTTGTTTGTTTTTGGTCGATGATTCGTAGGTTCGCTAGGGAGGGACTGAGCGCAGCAGCCGCTGCCTTCGAAGCCCGCCAATGGATTTGATAAAAGCCAGTTTGCTCAGCTGGCCGGACATTCCGTGTGGCCGAGTTGTTTCAACAGTCGCCACAGCCTGACATGTGGTTGGCAATCAGAAAATTTTCAATACAAAACTGGGCACGAACAGTGGGCACTGGGCCATGCGACGCCTGTGCAAGAACAGTGGTTGTTGGAAGCTTTTGTTGTTGATCCATCGTGGTGGGCATTTCAATCGTTTCCCGGAACAGTAAGATGAAATTTTCGTTCTGCTGGAATCGCCTGCCATTTCCGAAGAAGATCGGTCGCACATGGTCACGTTTAATGGCGGTTGCCAAGAGGTCCGAAGCACCTTTAGTTCGCCTTGTACATTTCTTTGCGAGCAAGCATGGATGGAGCTTCAGCCGCAGCCTCACAACAAGTTTGCGGCAGTTCATGCTGAGCTGTGGTGTTAGGCTCTCACTTGTCGGTGTTGGCTAATGGCTAATGTTTGTTTTGGTGACCGCTGAAGAGCCAAAGGTCACGTTTGTGCTCCAGACCGTGGAGTTGCAAGAGACTTAATTCGAATGGGGACATGGTGTCTTGTGGTGTCTTGCTGTTTGCAGCTGTTCCATGTGTGCCGTAACCCAGCATTCTAGTACAGCCGCGTGTCAGGATGGATTCATGGTTGCCTTCTTGTGCGGTCGTGGTGAAAAGCTAACAAAAAGTACAGTACAATTGACTCTCTGCTTCCGAGTCTCTCTTCGGTTGTCGGCGCAACGGGGGCGTGCTTCGGCTGCATTTGGGGTCACTGCTCTGATCGATGTGTCAAAGGCTTCGCAGTGCTTTTTTAGCTGATGCCATCAAATGAGGTGTATAGACCATTTGGAAGTGCCAAAGGACCAGGGGGCCAGCGGCCCATATTGAGATGCCGGGTTGTGCTTTCGAATGTTTGGCTGAATTGGAGGTGCTGTAAACGTGATCAGACGTCCTCTAGCACGTAGCTTAATGCAGGCTCTGGGGGAGCTAACAGATGCGCTTTCGTGGTGTTTCGTGTCGTTCACACATTAAGCAGTGGCTCCTGAGTTTTCAAGTTGCAACGTCCGATGTCCGTTGCTTCTGAGTGCTGAGGCCGCCCGAGGCGGCTTTTTTGCTGTGTCGCCGCAGTCATCGCCACTGGCAAGCCTAGGCTAGGCCGCGAGTGTTTGGTCATGACACGGCTCGCACCGAGCCGTGTTCGGCATCTTCTGAGAGGCTTCAAGTTATGCGATCGGAAGCCCTGACGCCCACGAACATGAGCAAGCTTGAAGGATTGGCTGAAATTAGCAGGCTTTCACACTGTAGCGACTTGAGGAAGCTGTGAAATCTCTTTACATGCTTCGGCAGGTGCGGCGGTGCATGTCAGGGAGCCGCCACAGCCACCCTTCCCAGAGGCCAAGCCTGGCAACATCCGACTGAAGCGAAGACAACTTCGAACAGTAAAGGTGCTGGAAGCACTGAGTGCAGTGTGCAGGTTCCAAGCTGTTGGGTCGCGCGAGTCCGCCGCTCCAAGACCGTTGAGGCACATGCCTTCTCTGGCGGTCCAAAGGTATTGCCGAACATGCCTTGTCGGTGTTCCTTCTCTTGGTTACGCACTGGGCTACCCTTGCGAGCACTTCGTTTAAAAACGGTCTCCCCTACACGTCGTTCCACAACCAGATCGACTATTCCCGCCAGGTCCCTCGGGGTCCTCGCATCCAGCTGCCTCCGGGAGCCATTCCCATTCCAGAGCGGAAGGCCCACTTTTCACAAGTGCAGTCTGTCACAACTGACCTTAACGAGCTCGTGCAGATTCCGTCGAGAGTGCGCTGCGAGGCGTGCATCTTGAGAACGAGAACTGCAATGCCTGCTCGTCAGAAGGTTGGCAGGGAACAAACTGTCAGCAGAGCAGACCAATGTGGGTCTTCTGCATCCAGCGTGTTTGCAGATTTTGCAGTAGATTTCAGTCACTTGGGGCTCGTGGACTTCCATGATGCGTGTCTGCGCTGATTGTCTGGGCTTGTTTGGAAGCTAGGCTGGTGCAGCCAGGAGTGTTGGCAGCGAGTATTTAAGCGAAGTGCAAAGCTTCCGCCAGGAGGCGTCGTCCACTTTGTTGGGCCGTCTCAGTCTGTACTGAGGCTTGGCTCCCAGAGTGTGTAGCCAAACAAGAAGTAGCGTCTCTCTTGTTACTGTCATTTCCATGCTGGGTCTAGTTGACGCTACTCGATATGCGCTTTGTAGCCGCATACATTGTAGCCACTTGTCAGACGGTCTTCAAGTCTGGTGTGCAAACCAAATTTTCTCATGAGGATGAGGAACCTCCGTGCTTGCTTGTGAGCCATCCTGCTTGCATCGTAGTTGCCTCGCACTCACTGCTGATGTGTGCATCTTCGTATCGGCATCCGACAGACAGTGACAGACACCCTGAACGAGGTCGCCAGAGTTTCAGCGTGGGAGAGCTAGCTAGCATCAAAGTCCACACTCGACTCGCCAGTCCAATGTTTTGGAGCTGTCAGTTGAGTTTCGTGTGCCATGACAGCCTGAGGCGGTTGGGCCTGGTCGCCCTGCGCGGCATTTTCCACATCTTCTCTCCATCTGTGACCCGTGACGGGTGACGTTTTGGCTGCAGCCTTTCTTGGAATCGAACGTTCAGCAATGTCTCGCAGGCGGAGCTATAAAGTGCTTGAAGCTGGTGCATCTGTGGAAGGCTGCTAGCTTATAGCCAGTTTTGACGTGGACGACATCAAAGTTGAGCTCGGCCACCGACCGCTGCGATGAGGAAGCCCGAGGTCGTATGTTGCCACTGGTCGTTCGTGGTCAGGTCTTCTGCTTTCTGCTTCCTGTTCCTTCTGTGGAAGTCGAGGGGCTCACGAGAAGAACTGATGCCTTTTTTGAACTCGGGCTTCACCTTGGCAGTTGGGACCGGCCGGCAGGACTTGCAATAGCTGAAGTGCTTTGCATCGCTGTGCCTTGATCACGCAGTGGCAACTCAAGGGGATGCTTGGCAACCAAGGATGCGCAAAGCACACGGTTTGGGGTGACTCATCAGAACACGGTTCGGATTGTGCCTAAGCAAAGGTACCCCCAAGAAGGGAGTTCCGAGTTATGCCGAGATGGTCTTCTGTTGTCAAGCGCCGCTTGGGCAGCCGCCGTGATGAAGGTCTTAATTCACATTGATCATCCACTTTCTCTTGAAGTCAGCATGCTGCGAGCCGTTGCAGAAGAAGCCTCAGTAGCTCCCGAGATAGTTTTCGCACGTTGCCGGCCTGCTGCCAGTGTTTCCCTGATGATATTCCACAATTCCGCAGGTACTTCTGATGCCGATGGTGGTGTCAACTGCTCCTCAAATCCACGATATTGGCTACCTCGTAGATGCGGCCAGAAGACTGAGTTACTAACAGTAGCTGAATATGTAGTTGCATCTCTGGATTTCCGGTCTCTTCTGCAAACGCCTACTAGATCTTGAAAATGGTACCAGGCCGAGTGTTGCAGCTGTCCTTAAGTATGGTAAGCTCTGCCTCGCTTTCATCATGTCCTGACTGTCTGCAGCAGACGTGGAAAGGTTGGTACAACATGGCGATTATTTTTGATGTGAAAGGCTGGTGAAGCGTGCTCTGCTGCAGCAAGACTCCTGCCGCACAAGGGCAAGTGCAGAAGTCTTGCACAAGCCCTGCATGCAAGTACAGGGCCTTAATGTGCCCGTGATTGCATGTAGGATGAATGAAGGCTCAGGCCATTGTGAAGTCCTTGGCCTAGCACCGAGCATGTGCCATGCGACGGCGCAGCAGACAATTTCTCATCTTGGCAAGCTTCGGGTTTTGAGATTCTCAGCATATCGCAAGCCAGGGCGTTGTTGAAGCTCGTTAACGACGGTTCTTGAGAGTCTTGCCTGCCGCATCCGGACATGTGTTCGCTTATTGAAAGACACAGGGTAGATATCACTCAGTACTGCTGCACAATGGATGGGTGTGTCCTGAAGAGCTGTCTCCGAACTGTCTGCATGCTATTGACAACCGAAGAACCCAACTGCCCGAACTTGACTCGATAATCAAAACATCACATCGATCGCCCCAAAGCTGGAAGCACCATTTTAGCCGGTAGCGACAATCACAGGTACATGCCACATGCGGGACACTCCGCGAATGAAACTAGACTTGTGACTTGTACTGAGACTCGTCAATGAAAAGCGAACCGGCAATCCCTGGACCTCAGTATCGGCGTGTACGGTGTTTTTGCACAAGAATATTGCCTGAAACCACTTCAATCCACAGAGTGCATGGCCTGTAAGTATTTACAGCCGGTTGAGTGCGCTATGGCCCTGTTTTTGCAACACAACCGCCGCCAACCGAATAAGCCGAAGGCAGGCGTGCTAGGCTCCGAAGCCAGTGTTAAACGTCTCCAGTCCTGATTCAAGTCCTGGTGTGGTTCAAACCACAGCTCATCTGGGCACCTCGTCGGAAGAGAGAGCCTCGTCAAATCTGCTGGGGATCTGGAGAAGGTCCACCAGTTGCGAGCTTCTCGGAGCGAGCTTCTCGTTTTGATCCGGCGGGTCTGCACATCTTTGGCAGATGCACTCCTCAGACAAGCTAAGCTTCTTGCACATTCGGAAGACCCTCCCTAGGAAGAGCGTGCATGAAACCATGTCACCTTTCAATGCTCACTGCTGACAGCTGACACAGCAGTATATTCTTGGTTACATGAGGAGTGTTGCAGTTGTTTCCATAGAGGCCGAAACAGAGCTACGCACCGGCGAGCTCTGTAGGAGAGGAGGCCCGACATTCCCGGATGCAGATATGATGGTATCATGCATCCTCAGCCGAGTCTTCTCGGAGCTGTAAAGGTCAGCGCGGCACAACTCTGACACCTGTAGCTGTCTGCTGAGCTCGACTTTTGTTGGTAAGGAGGTCGCCCAGCAAGCGTGCCGAAGGCGCTTGTGGTTTGAAGCGATACTCTTGACTTTTGCCTTGCTCGAGCAAGGACAGTCATACCACGAGTCATCAGCCAGACAGCCCAGGTCTGCTGTGCTTACAGACATGCGGCTGTCAGGTGCCTTCTCCTTTTGATTTCCAGGCTCGGACAGACAAATGTGCAGAGTACAAGGGTCCGGGACATGCCTGCAGTCAGACAGACTGCAGCTAGCTTCACAGCCGCCCGTAGAGTGGCAAGCTTCACAAGCAGAGCGTGATGCCGCATCCACAACCAGGCATTGCACCGATCAGAGCCGGAGATATGAGAGAAGGTTCCTCAGCCCCTGGGTTCGGACGTTTTGGACAAACATGTTTCTGGAAAAGGGAAGTCCTATTCTTAGACGCAATCATTAGATTTCTATGGCTTTCCCATCACTGTGAATGTGCAGACTTTCCCTTGCCTAGTGTACAGTATTACAAGTCTTCCAGAGGCAAAAAGTTGCGCGATCGCCTTGCCTTTTCGGATGCCGCGGCAGCTGTTGCAGGGATGCACAGCCGCTCAAGCTTCTCAGGCTTCAGACCTGATGTTGCCTAGAAAGGCGGTCTGTGCCTAACCGCAGCAAAGCAAGTGATGCCGCCGAGTACCAGGCTCCAAACATGAGCGAACACTTGCCATGCACTAGCCTAGGTTGTCTCGCCAGTATGCAAGAGAACAAGCCGCCAAAACCTTCTACAAATTTCACCAGCATGTTACAACTTTAGCGGTCATGCCAGATGAACGGCTTCCGTCCGAGCCAGCGGCGGCGAGTGAAAGGATTGACCTCTTCACACCGCTGTGACGACCTGTGATCTTTGGCGTCTTTACCGGATGCGTGATCTCTGAAGGGCTTGCTTGCCGCATGATGTCAGGTTCGTCGCAGGGCGCAGGTATAGGCTTTAGGAAGACATTCATCTTCTTCGGCTGCAGAACATGCACGTAGCATGGGAAGGACAGACAAAGGGTCTTTGCCCGCGAGGATAAGGAACTTGCTCACGGTGGTGGACGATTCTCTCAGGGCCGCCATTCAACCGCAGGCCTAGGGCCAAGCGTCCAAGAGTCAATCACCTCTCTAGTTTGCATGCTGGCTCCGTCCGCATCTATTAGCACACGTGACATGTCTGGGAAAACAAACCTTCACGAGACGGGGGGAGAATGTTGGAGAGTGTATCATGATGAGAGTATCAGCTCTTCTTCTGACAGACTGGAAACACAGCGGCAAACCCGCTTGGCGCGGTGGCAGCTCCGGCAGCGGTGTTGCTGTCGGTCATGGCCGGCACGGCACCCAAGCTGCAAGTAGCTTTGCAGCTCCAGGCCTCTGTGGGTTCAGGCACAACTCAGTGGTTTTGCAAGGTGTTGGGTGCCGTTTCCTACCGCCGCTCGGCGCGCCAGCTCACACGGGTGCTGGCGCCGGAGGTACCTCCCAAGTCGAACTTCAAGTGAGTTTCACCAACACCAGTTGGTGCGGTTGGCGTGCATTGTCCGCCATGCTTTTTCGCGCCAGGTGTCTTCACCGTCGCCACAAGCTGGCAAGCCTCCTGTGACGGGCGTGCCTACACCAACAAGGGCACCACGCGCGACAGATTTCCTGACGAAGGGCGAGATCGTGTACCTCTTTGCTGTGCCAGGTGGAGAGGTCTAGATTCTAGTCTAGACGTTTGAAATCATGCAAGCTTCGGAGTCTGTGCAGTGGCATCAGAATGCTACGGCTTCGATTCAGGGTGACACTCGTACTCCTGCCCTTTTTTCTTCAACAGACATGGACAAACTCATGTTGAAGGAGTCCTGGAAGGAGCTCATCTAGTTGCCTTTCACTCCAGGCCTCTTCGCCGTGTCCTTGGCGGGACTGCTCGGCATGCTGGGCCACTGGGCCCTCGGAGCCCAAAGCGTCGAAGAAGCCGTGCGACGGCTGCCCGGTGCCCAGAGTTCCCAGAGTTCCCTGAGCCAGAAACTTCTCCAGGGTTCGTAGCAGCGCGGTAATGTGGATGCTCAGGTTGCTGTAAAATCATCTTATTTCGTGGGTAGGGGCAGGGTTGAGGGTAGGACGAACACTCTCGCAAGAGTGGTCGCATTCCTATTTCCATGTCACTGGCAGAGACGTGCCCCTGGTTCTTGATAAGAGCCTAGATCGGGTTTCGGGTTTCGGCTTGGGCCCCTTAAACCCTAAACCCTACAGAGCTTAGGAAGTGGCTTCTTGGCAATGGCTCACGGCCTGCTACCTTGGAGCCCCCGAGCTCAAGCGAGTAAAAAGTCGTTGCGCAACCAGGGTTTAGGGTTGTGGGTTTAGCTGGACGTGAACGCTGAGATTTCGCCGTTGGGAGCAGTGAGCTCGACAAGCTTTGTTCGATATTAATTTTTCGCCGCCGCTCAGCTTCGAAAGAATCATTATGAGCAGGTGGGGATGTTGCCCTTAGCTCCCTCTTGTTCTCCAATACTCTCCAGTCCTGACCTCAGTGTGCAGATGGCTGACGCCTGCTTGCTCGTTGCTCTGGTTCATGCCGCAAACGTCTTTGGACACCACTGGTACAGCAGTCGTCTCAAAACATGCCGCATAGATTCGTAAGCAAGTCCTGCTAGGCTGGGTGGCTGGGCAGTGAAAGATGGCAGGCGTGCGAGAGCCGCTTGACTGGATTTACGTCTAGGCACTTATCGGCCCATGATGGGGAGGCAAGACAGTTTTTCCAATGGCATCGGGAGTTGAAAGTAAGTGCTATGTTAAGGCACACGTGCAGGTTGAGGGCTTCTGAATTTAGCTCCGTGAGATTTGATGCCTTTGACTGGTCAGAAGAGTTGGCGCATAAAAACGATTGATCTTCATTAAAAAGTGAGCGAGGCCTCCCAAAGTTCAAGATTTGGGTGGTAGAGAACCCATGCAGACTGTTATTATTGATACTAACACTGATACCATTAGTATAACCGTCGCTATGATGATGATTATTGTTGGTAGTATTGCCATTATTCCTTTCGTCAATAGTCCATTCTGATGTTTGGTATGCTTATCACTGATTATCACCATGACTAATGTTACTATGATTGTAAATCTAGGGCTTGGCATGAACTTTCGGCTGCTGCCTCGGAGTTTCTCCCGGCAGCGTATCACCAACGGACTGTACCACAGGAGCCCGACTGAAGCAGAGGCTTGTCTTATCAGGGTAGTTATCGTAAAAGCCGTAATAATCTTGATTATCGGAAATCGTAGAAACGGTAGTAATAGTAAGAAAAGAAATACTGGCAACAATAGTCATCGATTTCATAATAGTCATAATTAGTGGCAGTAGTAATAGTTGTAACCATAGCAACAGTCGTATCAATCGTAAGAGGAGGAGTGATAGTCGTAGTAATAAGAATCATAGTAGCAATAGCCATACGGTTAATGGCAATAAACAACGTAACAATAATCAGCGTAGTAATGTTCTATTTGTAAAAGTTGCAGCACTGGAAATAATGACAAGAATGGTATAGTGCTAACAATCGGCAATAGTAATAGTAGTAATACTCGTATCGAACATCGTAATAACCATTCTCATAGCGATAGTAATGATCGTCGTGGTTGACATCGTAATGACAATGTTGAGAATGAGAGTTGTAGAAGTAGTAGAAATGCGCAGCATACTTGTAATTTTAGTAATCATTGCAAAAAATGTGATAGCCATAACAGTAACAGTCGTCGCCGGGGGAAGCCACAGTAATACTAGTAATGTTCCGCCGGAAAGAGCTGATGGAAGCGGAACATGTGCTTCAATGACGACAGGGGAGCTTAGCAGGTTGTTCAATGTCCCACAAGGTCGATTGTCACTTCAGCCCGCCCTCAATCACTCCGAACCCCATTGGAACGGAACTCTCAGGAGGAGGGGCACCCGCTCCGTGTGTTCTAAGGAAAAGCTCGTTTGCAGGGGATGCCGTGTCGTAAGTCCCCTGCCTTTCTGAAGCTCACTGCAGAGCCAGGCTCGGCTTTCTTCTCGCCGCATCGTTTCTGGCACTTTTGCTATGACCTTGGTTTGCCAGGCTGCAGAGAAATCAGTTTGAACAGCATGAGACAGCCGCCTCATAGAGGCGGTAGTACGCCTGCCGCATGCCATGTCTTGCAATTCTACCAGGCTCAAATCCGGGGGTCACACCTGGCACGGTGGTCCCTCCTTCTCCGAGCCATGGAGTGGTTTCCTTGGGCGTCAGTACACGCCCAGTGTGGCAAGCCACTGTGCATGGAAACCCACAGGGTCGAGGCCGAAGGGGTTTAACCATGACCCTAGCAGTGACAGGAAAGCACTCGTGAAGCAGAGGCCGTGGGACCATCTCTGGTCACCCAGTTGCCAAAGCAAGATCGACGAGGAGTTTGGCGGGACTATAATCCAGACAGTCACATGGCGCCAGTGGAAGAGGGTTGTTCCTAAGGCATCGGTTGTTAAATGAATGTAGAATTTCGGACTTGTCAGGTGTTGGCAAGAAGGGCAGGCAGCTTGGGGTCTCCTTGACCAGGAAAGACCCGAGACCGCCATGGAAGATACTGCACTGTCGCTGCACCAAGGTGACGACTACGATCCTCGCAGTGCTCCCCTCTTGCCTCCCCCTGAAGATCCGCACAAGGAGATTCGTCGACAGGCAGGGATTCGCCACCCCCAATCTTAGATCAGATCCTCAGGCTTGGTAGACATGAGCAGCTTGTTTAAGTCTGGGGGCTTGGAAAAATCTCCCAAGCATTGTGATTGCTTTAGCTTGGCCGGCCTCGCCACGAACTTGGCAAGTTGAGTTTGTCCAGACGTTTCTGACCGAAGATTCATGCTCGCAAGTTCGGACGTACCCATGTTCGTAGCCAGCTCATGCTGTTTGGCTCTGGCCTCTTGAGTTACAAGTCGGCTTCGCTGACTAGCAAACAAAGCTGCCTTGCAACAAGCTGGTGTGTTGAAGACTTGTGCCCCAAGCAGGCATCAGCTCTCCGTGGACGCATCAAGAGGGGTGGATCCGAGAAAGTTCTCGCACATTACAAGATGGTCCTTGAGGAGCAGCACGCTTTGCGATCCTGTTGAGTTGTGGTTGCGAGAATAGCGAACACTTGTTGCTGTGTCGCAGACGCAGTTGTAGCAGGCAAGGCTTGGTGATGCCTATCAGAGCCATTCAGAGCCTATACCAAGAGACTAGGATTGCGTAAGACACGCAGCAGGTAGGGAAATCGGGGCCAGAGCCTCGGAAAGGCGGAAGCTCTGTGCTCTCGTCAGGAGCTAGAGAGATCCATGGCGCCGGTGCCAACTTGGCCTCGAAAGGCACGTTCAGAACGTACAGTGCACATAGCTACATAGCCAATACAGCTTAACTAGTAAAGAGGGGCATGCTCCGGTCGTCCCCCCTGCTGCAACGACAAAGCGCAGCTTGTGAATGTCAGGCTATAGCTGGCCACAAGCGTTCGCCATCTACGCAGTCTACGCTGACGGAGCCCACAGCTCAGCTTCATTCGCCCAGGAATCAATACGAAACGGACGCAATTGGCAACCGATCGCTTGCGCAACAGTGTGTTGAGTGTGGCATGTGCCTCCTGCCTCCTGCCCGACGGCACAGGGAAAGCACATGGTATGCCTTGCCGCACAGAAGCAGGTTGCGCATGCCAGGATCGCCGTCGCCTTTACTTGTGTATATTTATGTGCCAAGTTTTAGTATGCCCATGTTCAGTACACCGAGTGCATCGGTGATGGCCAACCGTGGCGCTGCGGATGGATCATAACAAACACAGTGCTTGTATGTGCGCAGCAAGCACGCTCAGGCAGAGGCTGGCACTGAATGAGCTGTTTGAGAAGCTGTGTTTGCCAATCAATTTTCAACGGCTATCGTCCAACTGTGCTCACAGTTCGGGCGCCAGCACGGGTCCCACATGCAAAACAAACAGTTCGCGGAGCACCGTTCGCAGAGGATGATTTTCAGTGAGGGTCGAGACCCTGCCACCGTGCATCCGGCGAGACACACTGAATGTGATTTATGCGATGACAGTCTTGGTGCCAGCAAGCAGATTCGGCTTGGCGATTCCGCTGCGCGTGACGAGTCGCGACCCGCCATACGCGCTCTTGCAATGGCATTCGTCACGATCTATTGATAGACTGCACGAAAGGCACGTATCGGACTATTGCTGCAATGTCTTGGACGCTCATTTTTCGAAGACGTGCTAAGGTCAACGCAGATGCCTGATGAGGAGATGGATGAGGCCAATTCCGGTACTGGAGCTTCGTGTTGCATCGAAAGCTTTTCATGCGGCACTCTTCACATGACTGTGCATTCGTGGCAGTGCTCTGTTGTCAGCCCCGGGTTTAGCTGCAGTCTGCCCTATAGACTTTTATAAGCGCAAAGATTTGGAATGATATTTCAATTTTTATCGTTTACTGTTCTGTTTTTGGTGGGAGCAGAAAATGTGTCTTTAAAGAGTCGTAGTCTTGTAGGCACTTTGCATCTTCAGCTGCGTTCACGAGCTACGGCGGCCTCTAGATTGCACAACCTCCAGGAAGGGATTCACTCCCTGGGCCTTTGTCGGTGAGCAGGTGGATGATCTGCTCGAGGACAGTGATGACGACTTAGAGCTCCTTGGTGGCAGCAGGGAAAGTCTCTGCCAGACTTCAGGAGCCTACATGGGAAGAGTTGGAGCCAACTTGCCCGAGGATTCCGGAGGAAGCTCTCGAGGTCGCTGTTGCCCTCAGCTTCGCCAAGAAGGCTCTGCCCAGTGGCTTGGTCCCAAAGTTATGCCCTCCACAAGTTCTGCTTCAGGGAACAGGGACTGTCGAATGAAGACAGGCAGCCGTGCCCAGCGGTGCAAGCATGTCGACGGCACTGACAGAGTAAGCAAAGAGAGACTTGCCGCAGCAATGTAGCACCGAGAACAAGCTGAGAATCTCACTGCGGCGCAAGAACCCTATGAAGGAGCACATGTCCAAACGGAAGATGGCGGTCCGTGTTGCTGCAATATAGGGGGCCCGGTTCTTCCTGCCATGAATGCTTCAAAGAGCGAGCTGTGCTTCCGTGAAAATAAGGTGGGACGCGCCCCAGGCCGTATCGGGACTTCAGAAAGCGAGTAGCATTGACCTTGACCAAGATTGGCTTCTTGAAACCGCATGCAGCGAAAAGTTCACGTGCAGGGTCCCTTCCTGTCCCAGTCTAGCATGCCAGCTGATGTGCATCTGAAGCTTTGTGCAGGAGGCCGATCCCAGTGTACCAAGTTTGCCAAGCTCCGCAGAGAGCCAGCAGGGCTCCTGCAAAGGAAGCAGATCCCTTGATTTTCCAGCCTTTGTAGAAGGGTGGGCTGTTTCTGCAATCCTTCCGGATGCAGCCGGGCCAGTGTGTGCATTCAGTGCACTGCGCACAGCATCCCGCTGCAGAATGTCTTTTTTTGCTGGTGCCCACATGGAGGGATCGGGGGAGATGCAAGAGGTCATTGTTCAGGCTTGTCTTGTCCACTGTCAGTTGGTCGTATGCTCCATTCTGAGCACCTGTGCCGTTAGGGCTCTGCGGCCCTTTGCCACCAATCTGCAAGGGAACTCGGTGCGGACGAGACGAGCTCGAGCTTTTGGGCTCCGAGCCGGATGGGAAGTGATCTACTAGCAAAGGCATCAATGTCATGTAATGCTACTGGTAGCGTGTCAGGTAATGCTTTCGCAGTTCCGCCGGAAACCGAGTCAACTTGTCTTCCATACGTTTTTGCAAATCGACAGTATGCTCAGCTAGCTATAGGGTTACACCTCACCCTCCAGATAATGATCTACGACTCGTAAGCAGGGCAAGCCTCAGGCTGCAATCGTCAATGTCGATTCTGGGGTGGCTGTCTATGGTTGGGTGAGGTGCCGGAATACACTGCATGCACAACAACGAGGACTGTGGTTTCAATTTGTCATGTCGTGTACAATAGACTGCAGTGCCCAGTCCCACAGATTCATCCACAGAGTCCTCTCCTCACTGTTTGTAAGGCGGTGGTCTTTTCTCTCCGATACCGGATGGTTCAAAAGCTGGCGCTGGAATCTTGCAGGAACCGTTTGTGTGTGAGAGAGCGCTTTGTTTACAGTGTCAACTTTTGTGTCATCGCCTGACTTTTGATTTAGCTCATATGGCAAAGCTCCTGCAGGTAATGATCACGGAACTCTTCACACGTTGACTTTTTGCAGGAGCTTTGTGTGTATGTGTACAGCGTGACTGACAGACAGGGCACTGCATCTTCCTTGCCCCTGTATACAGCAGCTGAAGAGTGTTCACATCATCGAATAAGCCAAAGACCCCCGCAGACACACACATTGATGTTGAGTTGGAGGTGCTCCGGCCACGTGCTTGCGGCCCGATTCTCCTTTCTTGATCGACAGACCGTCCCGGTGTGCAGGCCTGTGTCGGAGGAAAAGAGAAACGCTGGATCTCGCGGAGTCCAACAGCAAATCAGCACATGAGAAGATAAGCTAAGGTGAGTGGGAGACATTTGGAACCCTCGTTTGCAAACAACACTCCCTTTCGGAACCGCCTCTGCTCGTGCTGCAAACGTTGCTTCCGCTGAAGCTCGCCTCAAAGCATTCGTTACAGCTCTGTGAGTTCCCAGTAGCTACACCCCCGAGAAAAAGGCAGAAGATAGTCCAACAAGCCACTTGGGATTCAGGGGTTTGTTTGTGGCCTTAGAGAGATAGCCCAGTTTTCTGAGCTAGTCTTCCGTGGGTTATCCCGTGCATTCCAATCTGATGAGACCCAGGCTGCTCCGGCCCGACATCAGTCGCAGCTTTGAGGCCACTCTGCGACTCTCAGTGGTTCCTGCCATGCTCCGCCGGAACAGATGTCTTTGCAGTACCAGCAGTTGAACGAATTGCAGTGGGCGACTTATGTGAAGAGTTTCCTCGCCGTAAACGCGTTGCAAGAGCCGGAGTGTCGCACAAAGACTTCCTGGCATTGCATGGGATCTTTATACTTTATGCAAATCCACCTTGAAGTTCTTTGCGCTGACATTCCTGGAAAGCTTCGCTAAGGGAGCCTCGGCAGCATCCGTTGATGCCTTATAGGTTGCGTTTTTGCGTTCGGAAAGCCGTTCTCGACTTTAGCTGATTTTAGCTGCTGACGATTGTCCATCCTTGCATCGGAATACATGTGAGATACACCTGCGGAACACTCATAGGAAGCCGTCGAAACAGTCGATCTTCGGCAGGAGCCTCAAAGGCAGATCCCAGCAAGAGAGCCGCGGCGGCTGCCAAAGGAGAGGGCTGGATCAAGCTTCGACCCTGCCCGAGAAGCACTGAGTAGCGCAGGGAATCTCCAAGAAACAATGTGAACGATAGTTCAAGTAGTTCGCCTTTCGATCAATTCATGATCGGCCGGCATGCCGGGATGTATGATGCCCAGTACTTGAGAAGCGGGATTCGTGAGCTGGAGGAAGAGCGCTTGCAGCAGCCACAAGAGCGCCGCTTGCGGGAGAACGCTTCGCGCACCTGCCGTGCACAGCACAAGGCAATGCGGGGACCTCATCGCCAATTCAGTACGGGCTGCGAGGGCCAAGCTGCGCTTCCTGCATCATTGCCACCTTCCGTGGCCATCGAGGGCCAGGTCTGGGTGCTCCGTTTTTGCATCCGAACCACACTGCCTGCAGGGCCTGCCGATCCGAGCAGTCCAATATGTGCCACATCTTGTAGGCGGGTTTTCGGGGCTTCTGCGACTGTGGTGGCATTGCTTGCGCGAGAATTTCTGGTGGCGTGGCTTCAAGAGGAGGAATGTTCATTCCGATTTTTTACCTCTAAGCCCTGTGTCGACCTTACACCTGCCTGGTCAAGCCCAGCATGCGACTCAGCACAAGTAGCTGTTAGCCGTGCAGCTGGCGCGGCGGAGTGCGACGTCCCGTGAAGGCGAGCCTTTCCCATTTCCGGAGTCCGATCCGCAGGGCACCCGGAGTTCAGCGAGCTTTTCAGGGCCGTGGTTTGTACAGGATCCAAGCGGCGCAGTTATCCCCATGTGCGGTTTGCATTGTGACAGCATCGAGCCCAATCTCGCGTGTTGTTTCCAGATTTTCGTTCGCATCAACCTACAGAGTCGGGTGAGACATTTGTCAACAGCTGCGTCATGTAAAGTGTTTGTGGGCTGAACCGCATTCCGAGGCAAGGCTACTACAAGTCAGTCTTCCAAAAGCTGCATCAGCTGGATCCAGAGCAGCGCAGTTTCAGCCATCTTCGTGGGCACGTTGGGTTTGCAGCGCGTAGACGGATCCGGTCTTGCTCGTATGTGTGGGGCTTCTGCAGCTCTGGGCCTGTTACCTGTAGCAGCCTGAGGCGAGACCTGCCTTTGATTGGCAATGCCATGCAGGCAGCTTGCTCAAATTTGCCACCTAACACGGCCTCGACGAGACATTTCGTTTGAATCCATCTCGCCGTAGAGGACGATCTTCTTTGTCCCCGGAGCCCGGGAAAGTCATCTGATTAAACTGCAGCTTTTCGCCAAAGCCAAGCATCCACGTTGAGGCAGACACGCTACGAATTCGGCCTTGGCTGGCAGCCCAGGTTTTGTGAAGTCTTTGGAGCATGAAGAAATTCCGGCATGGTTTCTTGGCACTTCGCAGGCGTAGCGCTGGTGTGGTCTGCTTTGGCACTCAGGCCGCTTGCCCCGAGGAACCGGAACGAGGCACATGCGCCGTTCCTGGAGCTCATGAGACAACAAGGCTCGGAGTGCGAAGGCTCAAAGATGTTCAGTGAGGTGTCCTCAAAGTCCCTGAGTCGTGGAAGCAGAGCTTTGGCGCAATTGCCACTTAAAACTGTCACGCACTTCAACCACAGAAGCCCGCGGAGGCATTTGCAAGTTGGTGCCAACCTTCCATTTGGCAAAGCATTATGCGGAGATGCTGAAGCAAGGCCTTCCTGCCTCGCGTGCCCTTTTGTAGTAGCCTTGGATTTGCTTGTTCTTCATGCGGGCCTCTGTTGTCCACGGAGAGGAAAGACGTCGCCGGAGACAAACTCGGACTCCCACCTTGCGACAGACTTCGTTCGTTTCGGAGGTGTCGCAGCCATGCGGAGCTGACAGCACGTTTTATGGCTGTGATCTTGTTGCAGTAGGCAACTGTGTTCTGTCCTGCAGCCGTGCCTAGCTGCTAGAGGTACGGTGGATGGTAATGTCCTCGAGGAAATTGAGATGGTCGGCTGGAGCAGTCAGCTTACACTGATCTGGATTGACGCATACATGCTGTGTGAGACATGACATGTCGGGCGGTTTAGTCGTATTTTCACCAAGCCAAGGCCTTGACCTTTCTCTCGATCTCTTCAAGCTTTTGCCGCTCGTGCGGACTGACTGTACGCCGCGTCCTGAATCGTCCAAGTGCGATGTCATCCTTCATCCTTCGTTGCCGATGTTCATTCTGCTGCCAAGGGAGAAGAAGTTGCATTGTGCGCTCCTGCATGGCCAGTTAAGCCAAGTGTCAGAGCCAACCGCGTCCAAGGCTGGAGCCCAAAGATGAAAGCTATTCCATGTATAAGTCCATGCTGGAAGTGATCGTGGCATGGGTTGTGGCCTGAGTCGAGACAGTTGCAATGCAGTCCGGTAATCTGGTAAGCTGGTTACCAGTTCCTTTGAAACACTGTCCTCTTGGCTTGATGGCAGCCGTTGAGCCTACCTCTAGGCCCTTGCAGACGGAACGCCGAACCCTAAGAATTCTACAACCATGAGCCAAAGTGCACGCACCTCTCTCCGCCAATGCACGATTTTTTGTCATTCCAGCGCACGTGTATATGCTGTGTATGTGTTCATGTACGGAACGCTCTCCCATCAGTCTACAGCCACCACATCAGAATCTGCAGCACGGACCCTCTGAGCTCTTCTGATCCAGAATCCTGGGACTGCGCAAGCACTCAGAAGCGTATGGGAAGGATGGCTCGGCTAAAGGCACTTCATGCGCACTGTTCGTGAAAGCTCTGCTTCGAGAATGCACAAGGATGTTGAAAAGATGAGAGGAAGCAAATCTGAGGGCCCACAAGACTGCAGTGTTAGGCAAAGCAATAGCAATGCTTGTCGTAGGAGGACATCCGGGCGTTCGTTGCGGCTCGTTCTGCCAACTTTCCAAGTTTGGTGCTTTGGACATCGAGTTGAATCTTGGGACACGAGTGGTCTTGGTGGAAAGCCACGTGCATATTGTCTCATAGAGCCTGTGACAAAGGACTGGGAGCATCCATGGAGCGGGCGGAGTTCTGTGTTGAACCAATGGTGATTCTCTGCTACTCGCGTTTCTTGCATCGACCCGATCTTGTTGTGTCGCGGACACGGTCTCTCACTTTCGCTGTCATGCCTCCCCCTGAGTGGGGTGCCGCCTGCTGCTCGTCGAGGACGGTGTGCACCGCTTATGTCGTGAGACAGCTTGAGCTGTCGCATGTGCTGGGCTCTTTTCTACAGGAGTCTCCCAGGTCGTACACTTCGATCTCTTCGTTCCCGTTCATTCTAGTCGGCTTGCAGGAGCCGTTATGTCAAGGACATGTTCAGGATCGACATGGTACTGGCGAGCACCTCCATGAATAAGGACTCAGAAATGCTCCGAACACATGTCGCAAAAACATTGGCTCGTGTTGCGGGCAGTTGGAACAGCAAGTCCGTTTGCGAGAAACGACACTGCCGTGCGCAACCGCTCGAGGTCCGACAGCAAGGCATCGCCGGGTCTGCTGCTCCAGCGCTTCGAGAGGTGCCTGGCTTCCTGCAAGAGAATGAAAAATGCCACCAGGTTCCACAATCATAAATCACGTCATCAGCACTTCTTGGTGGAACGCCGGGAAATCTCTGCCTGGTATGTTCCTCTCCATGTTGCCGTACATATCTACCTTAACCAGGAACTGAAGTGCTTGCCTTACTTTGGCACCATGTCGGGTGTGTTGTAGGCAAGTATGCACTGAAATGTACTTGGTATTTCAAATGGACTGATGGCATCTGGTGTCGCCGGCGTGGAGCGTCGCAGCGGTGTTGCAGCTGTAGGTAGTCGGTTTGACAAACCGAGGGATGGTATCCTTGTCCCCGGCACTACGCTTTGGTGCAGACTTCTTTGAAGGTCCCATTGCTGGTTCCGCTGGACCTTTCGCAGATTGACTGGACCCAGCGACTTGCTACTTGGCTGAGCTTCCAAGCCTATGTCCAGCAGGAAATCGGTCCCAGACCCTCTCTGGCTTAAGAGCACTGTCGCAAAGGTAGAGGCGAAGCTTATGACACTCCTCCAATGCATGGGTCGGCACCCTAGCCCGTCTACCGCGATGTTTCAGAAGAACCTGAGCTTCGAAGTCAAAGTGGGCTTCCGGTTCCGTTGCAGAAGGAGTTGGAACGCCATGACATCATGCCACCATGACTGTCTGATTGCAGTTGACAGTAGAACTTCCCTCCGGATTCACGAACTTCTGCGCCCAGAACAGTGGAGCTCTCCAGTGTTCGGTCAGTTTCAAGACATGCCGCGCAGGGCTCTCAGCATCGACGCTTGACAAAGCTTGAGTGCAATCGGTGGATCTCTTGCATCGTATCTGAGACTGAGGTACCCGTTGGCTTCTTTCCTTCGCGCTGCCATACGAGATGGAATATGAGGAGCTTGGTTGAGCTGGTGTATGCTCGGGGGAAAGATTATGCTGTGATGTCTGGGGGACGGCAGAGAGCTGGAATAAAGTGTCAGGACTGCCAAGGTGAGCAGAATCTTCGCTGCTTCCCTTTCGAAACACTCCTCAGTCAGCTGGAGCCTCGATGTGTGCTAACCCCGCCAGAGATGCGGCACTCGTGCACGCTTGGGTTACCGAGGTTGGCCACACGCCTCAGCCAAACGAACACAAGTGCCGTCATCATGGCGGGATCCTGGGATGCTTTTTAGCCGCGGTGTGCGTTTTCTTGTACATGCCCAGCATGTGGAGTGCCCGGCAGCTTCGTAGGTCGGAACACAAGCGCTGAAGCCGGACCCCTCGAACAATCCAAACCCGGTCAGGGCCCCAACTCTTCGCCACAGAAAGTCTTCTCAAAGCCACTTAGCGACCCTATGGCTGAGGTGCAGGACTATGGCACTGAGACTGAGCCCGCGCACGGGAGCCTAGTAGAGGGGTGAGTCGCCCGGGGGGAGGTCATGTGCCCCACGCTGGAACCTATGTCGCAGTTTGTAGGGCTAGATCGCATGTCGAAAGTTTTTGTGCGATGTTGCAGTCATGTCTTGGAAATGTTGCCCTGAAGAAATGTCTTCCGAGGTGGGAAAGTCGTACGTACTTGGTATCACCTTTGCCATGCTGAAGCTTTGTTACTTTTGTTTCAAGCGGCACAACTCGCGGAAATCGAGCATGGAATAATGACAGTTGCTTGCGTGCCGGCAGGTGTCAACGCTGTTAGTGGCAGCTCCAAATCATGAGTCCTGCATGGGTCAGCACAGGAGAATGCCTCAAGAGTCAAAGGAATCAAGCCGCAGAAAACATGAACTCTGATGTCGATTTCAACTTCTACGTCTGGTTCCCCGATGAGAAACGGGCACATGAAACAGCATTGCAAAGATCCAACTACATGGTGACTGTTTGACTGTCGTGTACGCGAGCAATGACTTACGGCAAGGGCTGGTGAGGTACTGGTACGGTGCACACGCACCATCTGCAGGTGAGAAATAGGAGTACGGCATCGCTTCCTTAGAACGTGCGGTGGAGGTGCTGGTAGTAGCCGTCGATCATGGTTTACTTCGCCACCGATATTGAGCGATCTGTTGGTAATGCAGAGGCTCCGCCTGACATCCAACCATCGCAGAGCGTTCGAACGTACCTGCAGAGTAATCACCATCGAGCATTTCTGGTTGACCCTTCAAGTTCCGAGCGGGTGGTGGTGGTCAGCAGATGCGATTCAGTGTGGTGTTTCTGTACACAGGACGGGTACTTTGGCCCCTTCACCTTGTTTGCCGAGTTGCCTTACCCCACTTAGTCAATGTACAAGGCGACAGCAGCTCGTCCTACAGAACGCCTACGAGAGCTACCTGAGGGCCATTTGCGGAGGGAAGGGGGATCATGGTCATGGTTGCATTGGCAAGCTCAGTCGAAGAGAGGGAGCCGGGCTATGCTTTGTGTTAGAGCTCGGTCGCTTCCCTGGTGCGACACGGGAGGTCAATGAGACTCATGGCAATCTCGAAGGCTTTATACTGGAAGATCCGACATGTTTGTCTCAACGAACCTTTAGTGTGCTGTCAGCATGCTTTCATGTGGCGGCGAGAGATAGCAGAGCATGTGTGTGTGGCTCGTCGTACATGTGCTTTCGGCAGTTGGGACTCATGACTTCGCGCGTTCGCAGAGCTATTTGGGTCGAAAGCCCTCGATCCGAAGCTCACCTTCACAACTGAACTTCGAGGATTGTGCTTGTAGCCGTCAGCAACACCAGACTTCCTGCACAAACTAGCAGCTAGCGTGCAAGTCACTCAGCCTAAGACCCTCGTTCGGGAGTTCCGACAGGTTGCTTTGTCGTACTCGCTCCTGCCCTTTTTGGGGCTATTTTTCCTGGAAGAATCATGGTGAGCTCTTCGGTGATTGCGCTCCTGGTCGTCGAGCTCCTTGGCTGCCATTGAAGACTCGGGGCCAATTCGCGGTGCGCTCCGCATAAACAGAAGGGATGCTCGACCAGACGAAGTTGAGACCGTCGCTAGAGGGACAGTTCCTCGCTGCCATTGCTGTTGTAGTGATCAGCCAACCCGATGTCCGGGGAACAATCACTCTCCCTGAGATCATAAGAGACACCGCCAGCCATTGCTCGAACCGTTCCCAGCATCCAACTTGCCGCTCGGCCTGTAGACTCCTTCGAGTGATGCTCGCAACCCTACCGAGGACTATCAACTCGACGACCTCCATGGCTTTGATGCCAATCTTGCCGTTCTATGCTTGAGCCCTGGGTTGGCAGGCAACGATACAAGATTGTATAGTACAATATTGCTTATGTAAGGTATAATATAGTATAAGATATGATTGTGGTTCCTGGCAAGACTTGGAGGCAAATTGGAACGTCCCGGCTTTTGAAGCTTTTCGGCACTATCACCTGCCGCCCAGGTCTTGGAGATGGGTGCAAACGCCTTCGACATTGCCTCTATGTTTGCATTATGCAGCGTGCAGCCCATCCAGCTTATGTGTCATGCTGCTATACTGTACCGTACTATACTAGCATGTTTGTGGGTGTTTTTTGATTCTGCTACTCTTCGGAACCAGGGCGGAGCCTTGTCCTCCTTCATGTCCCTGGTCATCCCCTCTAGGAAGGTGTTGTTGGTCGGTTCCTCTTGAGGAGGGCGTGAACTTTTCATAGTAAAGTCAATTTTAGTATAGTATTGTATAATTTAATGGGTATTGCATAGTTTTGAAGAGTGAAAAGCAGCCCGCGAATGGTCGAGCCGAGCGTCAGTATGCTGTCGCCTTGTCTGAAGACCCGCAAGCGAAGGCATTACAGGGCACTGTCCGGGAGCCCAGACCACAATCCAGAGATTGCTTTGTACTGGTCTTTGCGAGGAGATCTTTCATAGGTTCGGCCGTCCACTTTGATACAGGCACTTGATCACCCGGCATTTGCAACCAGTTGCTTCCTCCTAAAGAGTGTCGTCCAGGTCTACAATCTCGCGCAGATGATCTTTTCGCCCTTCGTTGGAACGCTGTCGGATCGCGTTGGCCGCAAGAGGACGCTTCCAGGGTGGACACTGAAGACTGAAGGGCTCACGCAAGCGCATGCGAAGAATTTTCACGAAATAGATCAGGGACGACACAGAACACGAGTCTCGATGAAGCCCTGAGAAGCCCTTTTTAAAATTAGGCCCGGGTTCCTAGAAGCAGATCTTTCCGTCCGGATCCTGCAAGCAATGCACAGGGCGTACGGCCCTGGGACAGAAGGCAGCTAGAGTCATTCAAACCTCTTCGGGTTTGCCAACCGAGAAGCATTGTATGAGCTTTGAGCTCTTGACCAGGATTTTGGTATTGGCGCTGCTGGGAGGTGCATTCGTCAGCTTCCTTCAGGCGAGCTTGCGCTCTGGCACACTGCAGAACTGAAGCCGAGCTGTCTCTTTGCCATTCCCAGAGCTGGTCAGGCCAAGGCTGAAAACTTGACGCAGATGCTCGTCGTGCGAGTGCGCCGGAGGGCTTTGGTTTGCCAGGGGGTTACTGAATGCTCGGTTGACGTTAGCGCTTCTTTCGGCACCGGTCTGTGAATGTGGCTCTCATGTGCCCCTGCGTTTCATGAGCAGTGCACGCTTTGTCGGAATCAGGCCGTTGGTGGGATCGCCGCAAGCTCCGGACCTGTGGAAACCGCGTACTTGATGGACCATCGCTGAGTGCCGTTTTCAAGCGTTGCGAGCTGCTGTGGGAATCTTGCCTTGCGCGTGTAGAGAAGGGTACAAGGAGTTGACTGTAGGAGAACCACCAGCCTGAGGGGTGCAGGCTCATGTCCAAAGCCCTGAGCCTTTAGAGCCTGTCTCAGGACAACCATGTCAACAACACGCTCACGATCGAAAACCTGTAACAAGCTTGGCGAAGTTACACGAAGAGCATGAAAGAGCAGCAAGACTGTCGCAGGAAGAGTCGACCTCTGAGAACGAGCTGCGCGAGGCGTGGGACGGTGTGGGCAAGGGGGATCTCGGGTCTCTGTTCGCAGGTCCGGGCTTCTTTTCAGATGTCCCTTGCAGAGGGCAACTTTCTAACCCGGATCGAACAGATGTGTTCCCAGAATGGGGAAGGAAGCCCTTGTGCATCCTCCAGCGCCTTCAGGTGCTGGTTCTCCAGCGCATTGTGGTGACTCTAGGCCAGCGCAGCTTGACCTCCACGTTCTGTCCAAGTTTGCTGTCACCGCAGGAGCCATCCTCGGCCCTTTGGTTGCCAAGGCTGGGCGATGGCTTGAGGATTCTGACGGAGAAGCTTTTAAGAAAACTCATGTCCGCTGGTCCAAACTGAACGCTTACTAGGCTGGTTTCTTCCGCGAGAAAGCGCTGGCCGCTAGCCGAAGAAGACGTGCCTGACACGAGGTATTTTCCCATCTGAGCTTCCAAGACTTGCGCTCGGCTCAGTGCAGCCGAAGGCCTCTCTTGTCGAGGCAAAGGCGGCTACTTGTAGCATGGCTTGAAGCCTTAAAGCCGACTCAGGAACATGAGCCTCGAGAGTTGCACCTGTTTGATGTTGCTGTTGTCATGGAGCTGTTCTAGCGAGGTGCTACCTCATTGTGGCTTCAAATATTGCTACTTGGTGGCAATAAAGGTTCCCTTACCGTTCAGACACGAAGATAATGCTGCAGCTTCAGCAAGTGTCTGCTTCGCAATCGGGAGTCCAAGCAAGCTGGCTGTAGGTCTTTCTTTGCATTCCGAAACGGCGTTCCTGAGAAGATAAGATTGCTTGCGACCGAGGTTGGTGCATTCATCGGTATCTTCTTCTACTCGGCCGGGTCCTGACTGCCATAGAGCCACATCGTGATAGTCACGAGTCCGTATTCCGAAGTTTTGCTGATTTGATGCGACAAGCTCCACGCAAGAGTCAAGAGCATTTTGGATGCGCCGAAGCCTTAGTTAAGACTGGCCTGCAAGACCAGAAATCGTCCCAGGAGCACGAAACCGCCCAGGCCCTGTGCTGACTGTGCTTGCTGTGTTGTTGTGTGTGCTGATGCGCTGTGAGTGGGCAAAGGAGGGAGGCTTCGGTGATGTCAAAGCCGAAGCTTTCTGAGAAGGGGTTTCATGTTCTAACAACTCTAGCGCTAGCAGTGTAAACTTGTCTCCTAGACTTCAGGTGCTCCAAGTGCTACTTGGAGGCCCAGGGGACTTAGTAAGTAGGTCATAAGTACGGTTACAAGTACCCTAAATGGAATTGCCCCAATTATAACCCTACATATAACCTACTTACTAAGTCCCCTGGGCCTCCAAGTCCTAGTCTTACCTTTGGTTAGTAGGGAATGGGAGAACGGTAGTAATAGTAGTTGTAATTGTACCCCATTCCTCCATTCCCTACTAACTAACCAAAGGTAAACCTTTTGGGAATTACCTTATAGGATTCTAAATATGAACCCCAAAAAGGAACTACGTTGGGGAATTAGGGAACTACCAGGACCCATGGGTCCTCCAAGTCCTAGTCTCACGAGTCAGGGATGGGAGTTTCCAAAAACAGGGGCCTTATAATAAGGATCCTACTATTTAGGGTGCTATATTAGGATGCCCCTATTTCCCGCAAAGTCCCTAAACCCTAAACCTTAAACCCTTTATGGAACCCTTAAAGATCCCTTTAAGGAACCCTTTAAAGGAACCCTAGGCTCCCCTACTTTCCGGAAAGTCCCGGATGCACATTTCGACGTCCCGGGCACGTCGCATTACCCGCAGCTCCGGCTCTTCGCTAAGTCGACGGAAAGTATTTGCAGCCATGGCGCCCATAGGAGAGGCGGGGCTGGGGTTAGGGTTTAGGGTTTGGAGTTTGGGGTTTAGGATTTAGGGGTTAGGGTTTAGGCTTTGGGGTTTAGGGGTTAGGGTTTAGGGGTTAGGGTTGAGAGGGCTGGTCAACTGCCATGAAGAAGCTGCCCCCCGGAGTGGCATGCGGCTCCTGGCACCCTTTTTTAGTCATGGCTTGATTCTGATGTGGCGCTAGGCGGCAACCACCTGGGCAACCGCCCTCGACCTGTTGGTGCGGTGCCCGGAAAAGCTCTTGAAAACACGGCAGCCTGCTTGTCGCTGACTGCTTGGGGTTTAACGGTAGTGCTTCAGATAGTTTCCGCGTGTATTTGCGAGCTCGGTGCCAGTTCTTCGTGCTTCACGTGCGAGTTGCTGGCTTGGACGGTTTATCGATAAGGCGAGCAAGAAGGCCGATGATGCCGCCAAGCTTGGGACGGATCTTCAGAAGAAGGCCAGGCCATTGGATGAAGTGGCCGCAGAAGTTGTGGCGTTGATGGGCCGAAACTAAGTGAGTGTCACAGCCCTGATGCAACCAAGGAACGGAGGCTCCCCTAGAAACCTAGTAGCTTAGCAAGGCAGTGCATCACTTCCAACCTCCATTTTGCAAAAAGGTGTGCAGACTGTCATCGGCCCTGGAAGCCGACATCAGTGTCTGCAGGGCAAGGACAATGGCATGAAGATGCTTGAAGCCGCGGGCGCGATCACTGCGGCGGTCGCCCAGATGGGCAAGTCAGGCAGATCTCCTTGCAGACTCTGGTCGTCATTATTCTCTGGCTGCGGCAATCCTACCATTGTCGAACTTGCTCATTACTCGATTCGGCACTTGGATGTGTCTATAGCCTTCCGGCTCGGGGACTATGGCTCTATAGACAGCTGTAATACAATGAAGTTGCAAATTTGTATTCGTCTGCGGTGCTGGGGAGCCGACTTAAACGCATTAATTGCAGACTAATTGATCCCTAAAAGCCCCGTACTAGAAAGCATCATTTCGCAAGTTACTTGTCCGCTGGGTAGCGGCCTTGTTCTGATCTGTATTAATATGCTATCTTCGTACCAGCTCTCTTTTTCTTGTTCTTATGTCTCTTACTTCTAGCTTCTCCTCGCCAGCATTACACTAGCTCTCGAGCATTCGGATTCGTCTCATTGCAATTAGTGTTTCATGAGTATTAGTTTCGTACCCTCCTTACTCGTTTCAGCATTCTCGCTTGTAGTATTGCTAGTACATGGGATCTTCGGATTAGCATAACTGGTCTTTCTGAATTCAGTCTAAACCATATTGCAGTTCATCGTCGTCGTCGTCGTCGTAGTAGTAGCAGTAGTGGTAGTGGTAGTGGTAGTGGCAGTGGCAGTGGCAGTAGGAATGGGAGTGGGAGTGGGAGTGAGAGGGGTAGCGGTAGCGGTTGTGGTAGTCGTAGTAGTAGTAGTAGTAGCAGCAGCAGCAGGAGTAGTAGTAGTAGTAGTAGTAGTAGTAGTAGCAGTAGCAGTAGTAGTAGTAGTACCATACGCGCCCTTATTTGATCGCAGGTCAAACTGCTTCACGGGGGTGGGGGGGGTGGGGGGGGTGGGGGGGGGGTGGGGTGGCGGGGGGGGTTTATTAACGTCCTGTTCCAAGCGCAACATGTGTGACTTCTTCACTAAACCCTGAACCCGACAGCTGAGTTTCACTTGCACGAAGCTCGGCCAGATGAGGAAACGTAGAGCCCCGCCTGGTCGCTGCCATGGCAAGCAGAAGCGGCACTGTTGCCGTCTATGTGGCCAGGCAGGCCATCGGGCCGACACTTGCCCGTCTGCCCTAGGTAAAGCCTGGCGCGAGCTTCGTGCGAAGAAGTCAGATGCATGGTGCTCTGGCAAAGCAGTGCGAGCTCGTAAGCAACGGGAACACCGGCAACAGGCTCGAGTGAGCTACACTGGACAGGCTGAGAAGAAGCGCGTACTTGTGCCTGCATGCAGATCCGCTCTTGCGGAGCAGCGGGACATTGCGCAGGACCAGATGCTAGCCTACAGGGAGCTGGTTCGCTTGCAGTGGCTTCCCAAGAAAGTCAAGGCTTGTCGCAACTGTGGCAAACGTTCGTGGTGGGCGGTCTCGGAGAACAAGCACCGCGGCCAAGGCTTGTTTCGCAGGTGCAAGAGCTGTCACCACTTTCAGAACGTTCTGGTTGGAAGCTGCTTCGAGGGCTTGAGGCTTCACACAGGGGAGCTGTACAGGCTTGCAGTGGACTACAGCAAGCAGCCGCTTTCGCAGTCGCCGAACGTCCTCTCCTTGCAGAAGTCCTGTGGTGGCAGCAGAAAGCAGACGGAACACTTCGTGAACAGTGTGCTAGCCGCCGAAGTGCGGGAAGGCCGTCGACGTAACGCTTTGTTGCAACTGTCGGGCCCCGTGGAAGGCGATGCTCATCGTCTGCGGAAGGCTCTAGTTTCCGAGCGCAATCCACACTTCGAGGAGCTGGTGAGGAATGCGCGGAGACGTCGGGACAAGCAAGGACTCTTCACACCAGCGAAAGCTGTCTGGGCAGTGCATGTGCGAGTTGCAGGCTTGGTGGTGCGTTCCGGTCAGATGGCTCTGGCGGAGTTGCCACTGAAAGCAGTCGCAAAGCGTGCTCCGCCACCCGTGGAGAGTACCTCGGATTTGGCAATTACGCCGTGTTTCGGATGAGGGTTTGCGGTTTTGGGGGATTAGAGTATTGTGATCTAGTGTGTAGGCATTAGGGTTGAGGTTTGGGTGTAGGCTTTAGGTTTGGGTGTATGGTGTAGTGTGTAGGCTTTAGGGTTAGGTTTGGGAGTATGGTGTAGTGTGTAGGCCTTAGGGTTGAGGTTTGGGATTAGGGTTTCTGCATTAGGGCTTGGGCTCTGAGATTCAGGTCAGTCGGAACTGGAGCAATGCGGATTGCTCGAGCACTTGCCTGCCAAGGCCAGGCACGCAGGTCGAGGCATTCCCCTGTACTTGGACGGCAACCATGCCTGGGACAGAGCCTGCAAGAAGCTCAAGCGCAACGTCGTGCCGGACCACGTTTGCCACCGAGACAAGGAGTTTGTCGGCCCTCGCACTGGCCGCAAACTTTCCGGTGGCACGCAAACCATCGATTCGCTCTGGCACTCGATAGATCGTTTCGTTGGTTACTCAACAAGGACGCATTTTCTCCCAAACTTTACGATAGATTGTGCCTTGTAGGCTTACTTCCCAGCTCCAGAGCCTAAGCTTTGCATCTCGCAGGACTCGAACTTCCGACGGTCGCATTAATCCGCAACTTGTGCAGAAGGCCTACGCCTGGTGCTACAGATACAACTTCACAGATGCGGAAAAGCAAAATGTGATGGCCACATTCGGACATGCAATCAGCAAGTTCGACGAGTAAGTCCGGACTAGGCTTCTAAGAGGACCTGTTCAGAGACTTCTTCTTTTCGTTAACACTAGCACTTGGACTGCTTTCCTGGAAAGGGCAGCCTGCAACAGCATGCTGCTGGGGCCAGTCCTCGGGGTCTGCTCAGAGTTGTGCCAAGAAGAGCCAGACTCTGTTGGGGCAAGACACTCCGCAAAACAAGTGTGGAGCCTGCAAGCAAGTCACATCTTCAGGGGTCCCTGCAGCATGCAAGCATGAGAAGATGCAAGGTCTCCGCTGCTTGCACAACCTGGCACAAGTGCCCGAAGCACTCGCCATGGACTTTTGCAATGGCTTCGAGCGCGGACGCTTGCACTTCGCCCTTCTGGTGGCGACCCTTCTGGCGCTCCGCGCTGCGCGGGCAGAGCTCCCTCGCAAGTTGGCTGGCTTCGTGACGTTCCCCTTTTCTGAAATACTCGAGTTTTTCGAGGCTACTTGGCAACCCTGATCTGTAGACGTTTCTGGGACCCTAAACCCTTGGCCTCAAACCTGAATACCCGAACTCTAAACCTCAGACCCTAACCCTAAACCCCACTCCTAACCCCGTGTTGACCACTAAAGCCTTCCACCCTAAAAAACAAAACACTACTGAGGTGGTCAACTCACACCTGGCGGATGGCTCTGCTGAAGCTATCGCATACAAAGTGCTGCTGGAGGAGTTCCGTGCCAAGCGGAGAGGAAGCTTGCCTTGGGATGAACTCATCAACGCACGCGCGGACATTCGGCAGGCCTACAGTCAGCTTCGCATTCCTGGTTCCATGACTTTCGACGCGGTGGTCCTGGTACAACGGCTTGGCCGCCTTTTGCAG